GTAAAATGCTGGAAATAGCCCGAAGATCAGGACAAGGAAGGCAACCCATTTTCAATGTAAGCCAGTGCCGCCTGCTCCACTATAGCCACCACCGCTGCCAGGAAAGGAAAAGAGCCAACACAACAGTGACAGACAGGGAAGGAGGAGACAAAGGGCATGCACATGAACTCATCCCCTGCATTCAGAAATTCTGCTCTGGTGGAGTCAATCAATTTCAGATGAAAAGTATTACAAAAAAAAGCACAGAAGAATCCATATTGAACACACATATTCTTTTCCTTGTCATTATTCCCTTAAGGATAAAGTGTAGTAACTGCCGACCCTGCATCACGTCACAGTAGGCATTAAAAGTAACCTCGAGATGATTTAACATGGAAGGATAGAAGAGTAGGCTTCAGGAGAGTTGGGTACCTGAAGGGAAAGTCCTAGTCTCCATCCCTTGCAGACTGCCTCAGAGCACAATGTGTCCACCCATTAAACCGTGCATCTGGCTGTCTGCAAATATAGTCTCTGTGTACTACATGAAACATCTAACATTTTATATAATTTTAAGTTACTCCATTACACTCTCTTCCCCCTTTGATATAAAAACAGAGAAAGGTAGGGGTGGGGTGGGGGGAAGAGAATCAAGTTCTTTGTTACCTATCTTTGATAACTTTTTAGAACAGAGCAAGGTAATTCTAAGTGCACAAGGGGGGGGGAAAATGTGCTTGAAGAAGGAGGGTCGAAGTCAGGAGCCTATCTAGAGAAGTCACTGATCTGTGTCAGCTCCTGATGTGAAACCCATCAGTGTAGTCCTATTGGTAACACTGATGCCAGTTCCTAACCAATTTAACTATTATACTTTTGTCCACTAAAGCTTCCTGCCGTCATTAAAACAATTAATAAAGTAAAAGCTTGTACTATCCTATAAAAAGCACGTGTAAGTGAAGAAAATGCTTTTTGTAGTCACTTCGTGGTTTCTTTTCCATTCTTTTCTTGGTGCAATAGTTCATTTTTAAAAGCATGAGTTTAAACTATGATGACTTCTCTACATTTTAGTCTCCCTCCAGCATCAACTGGCAGAAACGTAGTTTTCTTATAGCAGTAAAAATAATTCTATGAAACTAGAATATTTTAAGAAGAAAACAAGAGTGTAAGCCAGGTATGGTGGCTAACAAGCATGTGCAATCCCAGCACTAGGAAGAATGAAGGAGGGAGTTCAAAGTCAGCCTAAACTACAGAGACAGACCCTAACTGAAAAATGAGAGGGGAGGGAATATATCCAGGGTAGATCTGAAACAGAAATATGTGGGTGGTATCAAGCAAAAGATACATGCACTGAAGAAGGTGTGTCTACGCAGCTTCCGCACACATATCTGTATCTACCCGCCTAGAAAGCAGGGAGCCCCGGTGAGCATCACCCCTGCACATCACTTTCCGCGTGTGCCCGTGTCACAGCACGGCGTTACTGACTCTGGAGTCCACCTCAGAAGGTGCTTCCAGGTCAAGCTTTTAACCCTCCATTAAATTTACATGTTTTTTCTCCAGACATGAACATTACATTTTTGGTGCCTACTGTTCACATGGTTTAAAAGATGCTATATTTTATACAAAATCCACAGCAAAACATTTAGGAAAAACAGAATTCTATGCCATCCTCTAGCATCTACGTGTGATTGAATCAGTGTTTTATCTGCCTGACTTAAAAATGAATTAGAGAAACCTGTTCTCATCTTTCTGCAGTATGTGATCACAATACTTGTTTATAAAGGGAGAAATCTAAAAGGTGCTGGAGTATGTTAATAACACAGCACCTAGTAAATAATGTCTTTCTAATATAAAGGCACATAACGTCCAGCAAAAGTATTTTAATTGCATATAAACACCCTTGGTTCAGAGGTCAAGCACGCCCATCTGAACACAGTGAGGAGAATGTAATGCCCTGGAAATCCTCTACTCGGAGCAGACATGTACGCTACTTACTCAGTCCCCCTTTCTTTGATTGTATGACCCTTTCAATTCTGAATATCTCTAGAGTCAGGAATTATTTTACAGCCATTGGTATGTCTGACTGGAAATTAGAAATTTCCATTTCTGAGTACGGCTGCTTGCAATTAATGGTAATGTATCCAATGAAATTCACTATTTTTTAAAACAAATATTTTTAAAAAGTAACTTAAAGAATATTGCTCCCAGTCTTAAACAATCCTAGATGTCTGGTTCATACAATATAATTTCTCACATGAGTGAAGATGAAAAATTTAATAATACAGCAAAATATCCAGGACGAGAGAAACTCCTCTGATAAGAATAAAATGTTGGTGAAATCAGCCTGAGTTTGAGTGGGCCAGTGCTCCTACTTGAACCTTTCAATGACTTCAGATTGCTGCATCCCTGCAGGGACATAAAGAGTGCTGCACATCAAGGCGACTGTTACATGTCTCTATGCACGGGAGAAGCTACTGGCTGCAGGACACACACTAAGCTAAGACCTGAGCTCATACTTAACGAAATTTGCGGTTTCTGTGTACTCAACTACAGAGTGTAGCATCGCTCTGCCACGCCACACATTAAAACTCCATGGGGCTACTGGGTGTAGTCCAATCCCAGGATGAAGCTGCCCAGGGGTGATGAAGGCCCACTATGTGATTCAGGTCTCTACAGTACTGCCTGCAAAGCCACAAAGCACTGCGTCAAGTGGTAGGGCCAAACCAACATTTCCATATGGTAGTATTCTAGCGCCAGAGCTGCGACCGAGGACATACAAAATGTGGCAGGTCCTAAGCCAAACTTATCAAAATAAAATAATCAACTTTTCTCTTGAATGTCTAAAAGCCCCCCCCCCAAAAAAAAAAACAAAAATACTAGTTCAGTAACTGAGACTGTGCATTTCCATCCTCAGTACTATGTTAACAAAACAAGGACAAGGGAGAAACAAACACAAAGTAAAAATGAAAGAATGTCCCCAAACATACTCAAGACACAATGCTAACAACTGGTTAACTTGCACTTTCTAGAACCTTTAAACCAGTGTAAATACAACCCTTCTCAAGTACTAGAGAGAAGGTCAAAGCTTAGAGTCAAAAACAAAAATCACTAACAAGCAAGTGTTATTTATACTGCTACTTAACTTGACTGAGCGTCCATTAACTTTGATCAGAGTAAAGGGAACTAAAGTCACTGTAGAAACTGCACTACACCATTTTCTTAGGGTCACAGCCAGTCTTTCCTGCACTTATGTGAAATACGTGTTGCATTTACTTTGTCCCAAGATTGCAATTTTGACTCTTTAAAGATCCTAAAAGGAAAACCTGAAATCCAATCAGACTATTACCTGAGTTACTCTGGAACTAAATATTCAAACACTTCTACTCTTACATGCCTTCCCCAAATACCAAAACAGATTATGACCTACTGTCCACAAAGCTTCTCAGAGCTATCTAGAGCATCACCAGAAGAGCACACAAACAAGTCCATTTTAAATGGCTGGTGTGCTGTCAGAGATCAAAAATCCTACACAGAGCAAAGGGCACACTGCTAGAAATGCAAAGGAAAGGAAATGACTGCTCACAGAATCGTGTGAAAGCTTTCCGCGGGAAACAGCAATGGCTTTCCCCCATGTATATACTGTATATGGAGAGAACTCAAAAGAAAACAGTAAATCAATAAAACTTAAAAGCAAGAGCAAAACAGAAAGTAAACCCTAAATTCTTCTCCTCTGTTTACCATAGAGCCTCGTCTAAGCGATGTGACCCAGGAGCCTACAGAACACATGGTGGACACCTGATTTCTGCTCTCTAAAATCACTTGAGCTATCAACTCCAGGACACATTTTGTGCAAGATGTACTCACAGCAGGCATGTGAACTAAGCTCCTTAAGGACAGTGTCGTCTACACAGAACAGCAAATAGCGTGTGAAAAATTAGAGCACTTAATGTGAAATACGTGTTACATTTGGCTTTGTGTTTATTAACAAAGCCCTGCAAAAGTGCCTCTTGGCTGATCTAGTTCTTTCTAATTTCTTCACATTTATCAAGATTAAGAGCTATAACCACGAGCGATGTTAATTTACCCAATGTTTCCAATTTTCTATCAAGTATTAAAAAGTATTGCATTAAACTTAAAAAAAATTCTCTGTATAAGCATAGAGAGAGAGAGACATACAGAGAAAGAAAAACTACATGGCTTATACAATAAATACACATAGATATTGAGTACATATTAATCAGACTGTATGGTTTTTATATCAAGGTACAGGCTTTTATCACCACACAACTCTTCTTTGTTGTTAAAGGGTAATGGGAAACTTCCACAGCTAAGCGCATGCTACTAACATTCAGTTTTAAGAATTTATAGATTAAAAAAAAATACAATTCCTAGAACACTGTTATCAAACAAATAAGTTTTATTGGCATCTAAAAACAAAATTCACCCAACATTGAAACGTTGTTTGCTTTTTTTTTTTTTTTTTCCACTTACTGCAGTATGAGGAACAACCACACACACTTACTTTGGAGTAACAGAGACCATAGTGGAGATTTTTACAAAATCACTTTTTAAAATCTCTGTATTATGCTCCTCAAGAATCTAGAGCCAGTCCTTGCATAAAATGTCACAGCTTTGTCTGTCACCTTAAAATCCTGCAGCAGCCTAGAGATATGGAGAAGGTGTGCCACACCTTGCTGTCCTGAAATATGTCATCACTGCCACACCCACCCAATGACAGCGTCTAAAACCCTCTCTTCCATAGGAAGTCTCTGACAAGCTGTTAGCATCTCCTTGACGTTAAAAGAATCTGGGGCAACATTTATACTTTATCAGAAAAATAAAAAAATGTTTACCTACCATGTTCATATTAAGAACAATGTCTATACAAGTCGGTTGTACAATTATTTTAAGAGAAAGGTGAACATGAACATCAGATTAACTTAGTTCTGGCAGATAAACGTGAACAACTGTGGTGCAGTCAGCCATTAACCTCTTACAGAGATGACAACTGTACGAAAGGTTTCTTTTACCTACTGAGCGACGTTATGTCCCCTCAGTCTCTGTGCTCTCTACCACCGCTCCACTTTCTACACCAGCAGTTGTGCCGCTCTCCTCCTTGTCTAGGTCACCTGAAGACGCCAGTTTCTCATAGAGTTCAGGCTCCTTCTGTACTGGTAAAGGCGGTGGCTGAGCATGTCTCTCTGGATTTTCACCATTAACTTGAGGCACGTTATCACCTTTTCGTTGAGAAGTGGCCCCTTCGAAATAATCAAAAACCCGAGCATGAGGAGGGGGAACCCAAGTGTTTTGAATTCTATCTCGTCCAAGACGATTTCCATTAATTTCTCTGCAGAAATCAAAATCTCTGTCATCCCTATCCCTCTGCCTCTCCCAGGGTCTTCTGCGGTCATCAAAATCTCTGTGAACTTCTTGCCCAAATCCTCTGTTCCAAGGACCACTTCTAGGATCAAATCGATAATTTCCAGCCCGAAATCTACCTCTTTCTTCATGTACGCCTTTTGGACCACCAAAGACTGGCAGAACTCGATGCTCTCTCTCATCAAAATCTCTATGTCCCCAAGGTTTCTCTGGGGGAAAGCCAAAGTGATCTCGTCGACCAAGATGATCTAGACCTGGCCTCACAAGATTCTCTCTCATGTCCACAGGAGGTCTTCCAAAATGATCCCTACCATCTAATGGAGGCCTTCCAGGGCCTTCTCTGGGATCTATAGGTCGCCCAACCACATCCCTAACATCCACTGGAGGAGGTCTATTAATGCCCTCCCTGGTTTCTATAGGAGGAAAGCGGTAATCTCTATCCCCTTCCTGCTGAATATTGTCATTCCCAAGAGGTATTCTTTTATCTGGATTGGGAACATTGTCTATAGTTGGTCTTCCCGGAGCCAGAAATGGTCTTTCTGGCTGACTGAAAAGATCTCCTGGAGGAAAAGGTCCACGGGGTGGTGGATGAAGAGCTGCATCAAGTACCGATGGGGGAGGGATACCCCGCTGCGGGGGTATTCCAGGCTGTAGTAAAGGGAATCTTGGTCCAGGAGCCTGTGGTATCAGTCCTGGACGAATGTCTAACATTGGCAATGCAGGCATCCTTTGAGCAGGGATAGTTAATGGGGGTAAGTTCTGAGGTCCAATCGGTGGCTGTGGTCCTAAAAGTCCAGCAGGATTTGTAACATTTGGTGGCTGTAGTCCTACAAGTCCAGAGTTGTTAGGCAGGTTTGGAGGCAGAACCCCGAGAAGTCCAGAGCCACTGGACACATTTGGTGGCTGTATGCCCAAAATTCCAGAGTTATTTAGAATATTTGGTGGCTGGGCTCCCATAATCGCAGGACTGCTAGAAACATTAGCTGGCCGAACCCCCAGAATTTCAGAATTACTTGATACATTTGGTCTCTGCACGCACAGGATCCCAGAGGTACTTGAGGGCCCAGGCGGCTGTGCTAACATCGAAGCACTACTTGGAATATCATTTGGAATCACTAAAATAGAAAGAGAAAAAAAATCATCTAAAGTAACGGTTATTCTGTTGTGAAAAGGAAATTATTAAAGTTGTAATTCTGCTAATGAACTTCAGCTCCTCCTCCCCTCAAAGAGTCAGGCTTTACCAGACACAGGATGACCAGGTAACCTAAGTTTATCAACAGCAGAGTGAAATGTACATGTTAAACCTCAGTGGTTTAACCTCTGTCGCCTAAAATACTTGGCACGAACATTTTCCAACAAAAATTTCAGGTGTTTTTGTGTGTGATTCCCCACCATGAGGATACCAAACAGTGGGACCATTAAAAATTGATGAATGCTTTCAAACACCATTTCTAGCTAGATAATACTCTAGGGTACAGTATTTAATAAGAGCTATTCACCCCCTAAGAGTCACTCACCCTTAGCTTCCTACAAATTAACACTTTACGTAATCTTATGCTAACAGCAATGTCCAAGAACAGCATCACAGGCCTCCAAAGGGTGAGTGTAGGTCTTAATGAAAAGGTCTCAAAAATCAGTATTACTCTGAATAGAATGCCATCTGTCCTAACAGCACTGAACATTAAAATAAGGGGCCTTATACAAGCTAGGCAAACACCTACATCTACCCTTTAGAATGTCACTTCTGAAAAGTGACATTGCAGGGCAGGGAGAGAACAGAGTGGTCCCTGTCAATCAGTGAATCAGTCAATCAATCAATAGCTGCAGCATTTTACACACATATACCACTCTAAAATTTAGGACTAATCTTCAGAAAAATAACTATGAGGTTAACTTTATGTCTAGGGTTTTACAGCCACTGCTTTTGTTTTTACCTGGTCTGGTATTCTCACCAGAAGGAATCTGGTGTTCTGTAAGGTGAGGTACTTTTTCTTCAGGCTCTGCTTTACTGGGAGGATTAAAAACGTTTCCTGCTGGTAGAGTTGAAGGAGCAAGACTGCTGGCAACAGAACCACCTGGTAAAACAAGGCTACCAAATCCAACATCTTTCACAGTTTCTGGGGTCATGGACAATGGTGGTTGCACTAAAGCTGTTTAAACAGGACAAAAATTTATTTCAGACTTAACCAATTTATGAGTCTAGTTTTCTTGTATCTTGAATGGTTTACTTAATGGCATCTCAGCATTACTAAACACATTATATAATAACCTATGCTCAAAATGACTAGTCATAATAAGGAGGCTCAGCTCTACTTAAAATGCTTCATTCGTTTAGAATAGAAAAAACTATTTTAAGAAATATTTTCACCAAAAGAGAATGGTACGGGAAGAATCACTAGTGGAAAAAAAAAAAATCCTAGTAATAAAATATATATATATATATATGCTAATTTTCTAACAATGCCAGCTAAGTGACTACTAAATAAACAGAAATGATTAGCAGAAACAGCCAAGTAGACAGCAGAATGAAACTCTAGCCAATCTTCTCGAAATTGCAACGGGAGAATAGAGATGTGTCCTTTATGTTCATGACTGCCATCGATCGAGGTTAGGAAAGGTAAACTGTAAATATAAAGCTAAATATAAAGCATTCTGTGCCAAAGCAGTTGGTAAAAGCTTTATCCATGTGTATGTCATCTTTCTCTTAAAAGGCAGAACCACAGGGATGTAACACACTCTTAGAAGGTCTAACTTCAGTACATGTCATTCAGAAAAGTGCTGAGCCCAGACTTGGACACTTTAAGGCAGAGACTGCCTCCCCCCCCCCCCCCCAATTCACTTCAGAAATACCAGAACCAACTGTAGTGTATTACAAAGATGAAACACTGGAGCAGGAATTAGGGGGAAGAAGTGAGACAGGAAGAGCAGCACAATTCCATGTACTATTAATTGATTCCAGGCTAGGAAACTTTAACTATTGAGAGACAGCTACAACAGGACGAGAGCCTCTTTGAGTGATGAATTAACTCCTGAACACTGTGCAATTTTCAGAAAGATTTGAAAGCTACCTAAATAATATAAGGAAAAAACATTTTTAAATGTAAAGGAAATGAATTTGGAGTTTTAAGAAATTAACAAGCATCCCTATTTATTTTATGTGTTCTCATGAAAGTTCTTTGGAATCTAATTTTTGAAGCAAGGTTGTCCAAAATTACAGAATACTTATTCAGAAGCACTATGTTTAGTAATGGGACTGTTAAAAGATAACTGGGTATCTATAAATCTGTTCAGCAATCCTCTGGACCAGCCTCGGATGCAACCACTATTCAGGCTCTTCAGGAGGGCAGTACTTACATAGTTCTCATGTTATCATTTTCAGCGTGACAACAAAGACAAGTATAAAAAGCAGCTAAGTAAAACATAAGCTATTTTCTATACTGCACATTTGTATTTTCTCTATCAAAATACATACTTTCCAGTCTTGTCCACTGAAAAATTTTCAACCTAACAAAACCCTCCAAGCAAACATAATCTAGCAGTCAGAATGTGGTCTGTAAAGCATAAGGAGAAAGAAGTGTCTGGTTCAGACTACAGTGGGAGACACAGTATGACTGGGGGCAATGAGGCTTCAAAACCTGAGACCCTCTCAGAAGCAAAGACAGCTAACTGCAAGGCACAGAGAAACAACATACGCAAAGGTAAAACGCATCTGAACATGGAAGAAGAGAGAAGACAACTGATGGGAAGTGATCTATCAATCCATGATTACAGATTAAAAATGAAGAAACAAAGAGTGGTGGAGGTCAAAGACGACAAATAACAGAAGCCCTTACTGCCCTTCAGTCCTTACTCCACAGAGTGCTTGTTGACGGCTGGGGGAAAGCTTTCTATCTACTCTGACTTTCCTATACACTACATCTCAAGGTGACTAATCATCATCAGCTGGCAGAAGTTTTCCTTATAGTAAAAAAAAAAAAAAAAAATTCCTAATAAAAAAATGCAGAAGGAATTACTATTTATAAATATAATAAATTTGCAATTAATGATAGATTTAACCAAGATAATCAATAATTAAAAACTTAACAGTCAAATGTTTTCAAAGGCCTAGTTTCAATGCCTGAATTCCCTCAATCTTAACATTGTTAAATATGTAAGAAAATTCCAAGTACAAGTAAACCCTAATATAAACTATCTGGATTATAATTAAGATATAGATTCATCTTCTCTAATTAGGGTCCACTCTGGTGGGAATGATAATAAGGCACCTTGTTGTGCATGAGCACAGGAGGCATACAAATCATTTTTATACTTTCTGCTTGATTTTGCTATAATCCTCAAACTGCAAAAAAAAGTACTTTCTGTTTTGTTCAAAGTGAACAACAAAAAAAGACATCAGTATGATATAACACGATTATGTATATACAACCGTATACATTAGTATGATAGCATACATTTTGCTTGTATTCTTATGGGGGAAAGGTGATCCACAATGCAAACAAGTCGTTGGCGCTAACTTCCACCTTACAGCAATCTTAACTCTAGAAAGGAGCTGCTCAGTAGTCATCAGGGATTATGAGCTGGAAAGGAGATCTGGGCAGGATGGCTCCAGACAAGGACACTTAACAATAAACAGCAAAACAAAATCACAATGGTAATGGAACAGTCTGTGAACCTTGACTGAACAAAGTAGATTATGAAATAACACTTTGAGATAACTGAGGAAATGAGGAAGAACTTGTGAGATACTATTAATTTTCAGAAGTCATTTTACAAGCATTTGTTTAAAAACAAGTAAATTACAGGAATAAGAACAAATATGCTAATACTCCCCAGGACAAAACAGGCTTTGGAAATCAAAAACTCACATGTTGGTACTACTGGTGGTATTGCAGGGGGAGGTACCACAGGCGGGGGAACTGGAGGTGGCATAAAACCTACACGAAAGAAAAAAAGATGAAAATAAAACAGCACAAAGAAAATTATTTGCTTTCCATCAAAGAAGCTGTAGATGAACTTTTAGATCTTCTTTCTGAAGGTGGGGTCCTCACTCTGCTACCCAGCTGCTGTGGAACCCATGGGCTAAGTCATTCTGCATCAACTTCCTAAGGAATGGGGATCCCAGGGCTCCACTACACCAGCAAATCCTCTCAGTCTTAAAATGGCTTCTATTACATGAGGATGGATCTGTGTAGTATTTTCCACTTAAAACGACTTCTATACATACTTTATTTGAGCTCTACAAGGCAAATAAAGCAGTGATCCTGATCATAATGTTCAATTTATTTCCTCACTCATTCACATCCTGTGATATGCTCTACGCTGCTGATATGCACAATAAGCTGGGGAACCAAAATGTGTATTTTGGAATGCTGATCACAGGGAGCGTGCTAAACCTACCTCAAGCTACTGGTCACAGCAGAAAACACAATGCTATCCATCTGCCAGCCATTTTTATTTCTTTGACACATTGTGTTATTTACCACTAGATTAAAATAGTTTGTTAATTTTAAGTTCTTGAATAACTCTTAAACTTCAATGACATTTTTATGATCCTATAGACCACATGACCAAATTATAAATCTACCTCTTTTTAGTAGTTTTTAAAAGTAGTCACTATTAAATTTTAAAAAAGTGCATAAAAATAAAAGAGGCTTAAAGGTTTAACCCAAAGGATCAAGAGTCTGGAGAACAGACTCACAAGCTGGTTCTGTTGTCTATTCAAGTCTGCAAACCACTGCTCTATAGCACTGGGAGCCCAAAATAACATTAACGACATTCTAAACTGAGTTAAAACAGCAAGATATAATTCCTTACCAGGAGGTGGTTGTGAAGGGTTAAAACTTGCTCGTAGAAAAGGAGGTGGAGGGATTGGGCTGAATCCAGGAGGGGGGACCGGCATTGAGACGGGAAATGCTGGTGGAACTAAACTAACTGCAGGAACCGCTGGTGCTACTGGAATCTTTGTGAGTAGAAAAATGTGCGTTAGCCAGTTTATCCACCTGAAGTGATTACTACAATACGGCATACTAAAGGCAAATCACTCCTTTAACAAAAGAAGTACAAAAAGTCATTACATTTACATTTCTCTTCTTGGATACTTTTGGCAGACAGTACTAGTCATCAGATAACATACGTGGAGACTGTAAGGTACATCCTACAATCAGATGACACGAGAGCTCAACTAAGCATTGAGGCCCAGGCTCAGGCTTCATCAGCACCTGCCCGCCTAGGAAGCAAGGCAGTACCACCTTTCCAAGAGCACCGAATTCTCAAAACTTTGAAATCTTAACACAAGTAGGTTTTATTCTCCATAGCTACAAAAAGTCCCAAGCTTCTCTCCAGCATGGCTTTGCCTCCTTCCTGAACCTCGAATGTTGTCAAGTCTCATTCCATTGCCTAAAGAGCACTTTAATGCTCACACGCACAGAACAAAATAAATCCCAATTCTTATATCCTCACATCATTTTCTATTCTCATAAAATACAAGTCCCCATATCTCTAATCTCTTAGACTAAGTGTCTTTCTCTCCTTTTTCCCCAATTCCAGATCCGATAATCTAGGGAATCATGTGCTACCTGCCATTTCTCTTTCATTTCATCCCAGTCTTCTCCGTGTCACAACCACCTCTCACCTCTATTGCTATAGCTATTTCCACCCCATCTCTTCTTTTAGAAATGTCCAGTGTAGCCTATTCACTATGGGCTACATCTAGTACAATCCTTAACTGTCACTCCTGAGTCTCCTCCTCCAATAGTTACCCTGATTCAGAATGAAAGATGAACTGCTCTGAGAGCTGAGCTTACAGGCATGACATGACTCAAGCATGCTCCTGGCATAAGACCCTTCAGCCTGTATTTCCTAAGACATGGGAATAGCCACTTTCTTCATCACTATTGTTCAGCAATTGTTAAGCTATTGCTCAGCTAGGTGTACCCTGATCACCACTTGAAGATGGCAGGCAGCTACGCAGATATTCCTGGCCAGCCACATTCTAGTCATCCCTATCCTATCTCATCCTGTTATTTTGTATTTTCTGTCTCCCGCGAATGATGATGAAAGCTCCATATTAACCATGGATGTACTCCAAAGCCCCAAAGCTCCTAGCACAGTGCATAACTCAGCACCAGCACTCAGTACCTATTTAATACATAAATACTTAGTATAAGTAATACCTTCTCTGACAATAATCATTTTTCAAACTGTTCCAAGTAACGAGACTGACAGCAATCTGCTAACCCAGAGAGCATAATCCAAAGGAAATACTGCGAGTCTAAAGGCACTGTCACCTTTGTGTATTTACAATGATGCCACTGCACTTGCAGGTTTTTAACATCTGAACCACAACATGTTACCTGTCCTAATGTGGACAGCAGCTTCCAATTGTCACACAAGAATAAAATCTGATAGGAAAGATGTGAGGCTACTAAGAAGCCAGCTGGCCCTTACCTGCAGCATAGCAACAGGTGGAGGGAAAACCTCTGCCTGCGTTGTGACCACTGTCTCCTTTTCAACTGGAGTTGGACTCTGTGTTGTCTGGACTGTCTCTTTAGCAGGTTCTGAGGTTTTCACAGTTTCCCATTCTAAACGAAATATTTAAAGTCGATTTTCTTTAAATACAGTTTTTCCCATTTTCAATACATCTAACCCTTGCCATATCTATCTATCTTGGCAAATCCACAAAAAGTAACACACAAGATAGAAGTGACATTGAGCTGTGACGGTGACATGCCTTATGGGTCACCTGATTTCTGTAAGTCACCAAGCACATCTAATAATCGAGAAGATTTCTGCATATATTCATTAGCTTGAGTACCTCCCTGAAAGCAGGCTACTTTTGATAAGAGAACTACGATACAAAGAAGCAAAGAATGAACCACACTTTGGATCAATCCCAAATATTCCACTATTTCCTCTGCTTGTTGCTGTTTGTGAATTTTGAAAAATGAAAAGAAATAATGCTATTTTTACAAGGAGCAGGCCATATGATCACTGGGTTATGGGCAACACAAGAAATATTTCAGAAGGCACTATGCTGCAGTACCTGAGCCGCAGAATGCCTGCTACTCAAAATGAAATCTAAAACAATCTGGACTTTCTCCAAGAAGCTTCTCAAATCCTCAGTTCCAACTTACAACTTGTGGAATTAAAAAAATACTTGCTTCAACAAAGCTTTCTGGGTACAAAGCTTTCTCTTAAACATAATACAAATGTTGTCATAAAAGAAAAAAAAATGCTAAATTTACGAGCTTCCATTAAGTACTTTTCTGCACTGTTCCCTGACACCTAGTGAAACACAAAACACTGAACAGGCAACATCAGAAACTGTCATTTCTTTCTTCTTCTTGGTGCTGAATTCAGGGAATAAGCATAGTTCTCCCTCCATATTTCTATCACAACTTTCTGGTGTACACTGTAAAATGATAAAAAGCACTTGTGCTCTTACCAGCATTTACAGTCTCCTGGTCAATCATGCCTCCTTCCGCAAAGCCATCCAAGTCATCCACCTTAACTTTTTCCCAGGGTATGTATGTGACTCCAAGATCCACATCCCAGAACTGCTTATACTCTGTCTTTACACCTTTGTTCAAAGCCCAAGCAATCTATTGGGAATGGGGAGAGATTAAAAAAAGGAAGATCACAGATAGATTGCAAAAATAAATAAAGTTCAAAATCATTATTTAAGCAAATAGAAACAAAACTCATTTTCCTTGAGTCCTTTTTAACCCTGCAACATAAGACCTGCTTCTGCTTCCACTTCTTACCCAACTCTAGAATGACTCATTTCTGGAGATAATACAAGTCTATTTTCACAATAAAATCTAGGTCCCATTAGCAATAACTAGGAAGATTATTACAAGTTTAATAGAGCCTTGTACACCACCCAGGGCACATAAGCAATCCTGAGTTTACATACACAGTCAGGCAGTGGTAAAAGACTAGCATACACACTCTTTAGAAAGGGCTCACTGACTGCATTCTCTCTGTATTAGTAATTCTGGCACACACTCTCTCTAGAAAGAGTTCACTGAATACATTCTCCCCACTTTTGTGGTTCTCAACCTTAATGATGCAACCCTTTGATACAATTCTTCATGTTGTGGTGACCTCAGCCATAAAATTATTCCTGTTTCTACATCATAACGACAATTTTGCCACTGCTATGAATTGTAATGTAAACATCTGTGTTTCCCAATAGGCTTAGGTGACCCCTGTGATAGGGCTGTTTGAATCCCAAAGGGGTTATGACCCACAGATGACTGCTTTAAACAGCCAAAATAAAACACTGAGTCAATCACAAGCAGGAATGAGAAAACAATACATTCTCAATTTAAAGACTAAGAAGAAAAAAAAAATGCTTGTAGATAAATTGTTTACAAGAAGGCTGGCATAGATAAAAAGAAATAATGTAAAGATGAAGTATTGGGAGAAAAAAGTAAATGAAAGACAAACTTGTACATGTGAAAAAACTAACCCAAACGCAGCCTGAGCCGGCAGAGACTTGTGTAGGTGTGACCTTAAGGAACAAACAAACTAGTAAGTCATTACACACATTCCTAATTATAATTCAATAATACTGAAAATGTAAGCTTGCTGGAAATGCGAAAGACAAGGCTGAGAATAGAGCTCTGTGTAAGAGAATGAGCTTAAATTACCATGTTCAAGGATCTGGATCTGATCACAACAAGGGGCAAAGAAGGGAAAAAGATGAAAAGAACTGGGGGATTCTAATGGTCCAAATAATACGTAAGATCATATGACCTTTCCTATGAAACATTTATGACTGTGACATAACAGGCTATAATATTAATCATCACTCTAGCACAAAAACTCACCTTAATGACCTTGGAACCAATTTTGTAGGATCCTGAACTCAGTTTCTGAAGAGCCCGAAATGAGTCCTGTCGATGAACCATACAGACATACGCACAGCCCCTGGGTGGAATCATCTGTGAGGGAAAAACCCTTTCTTTACAGAGAGAAGGATGGAATGCACTCTGACATTTGCTTCTAGTAAAACTCAACACAATGACAACTGACTAAACCTACAATGTTGGTAGATGGCTAAATTAATTTTCTTTCTTTCTCCAACTCTGTTTATTGATAAAACACATATGCAATTAATTATTCACTTAATAAGTCCCATATTCATACCTTAATTCATCTTCCATTTGAAGACACGATAAATCTTGAATACATGTTATGAGTTCTCTGATTACAGAATACAGAACTTACTATAATAACAAAAAACCTTACAGCTCCATTTTCAAGCTGACAGGTAAAATGAAAGAAAGGGAAGGACAAGAAAGGGAAAGGAAAGGGTTCTTGCTAAGAAACATTTAAGGCTTGGAGGAATTAGGTGTATACTGCTATTAAACAACAATGAATACTTTGTAAGATACTTTATTTAAAAGGAAGAATTAAGGGGATATAAACAGCCTCAAAGCAAACACAGAAAAATGAGTACATAAACAAATTTTATTTTATCAAGATGTATATTACCAAAGGCATATAACTACTGGGCTTAAATAGGAGGTGAAAACCAACTATTCTAAAACACTGTGCTCAAGAGATACTTACATTAATGGATTCAATTTGTCCAAACTCCTCAAAAAGGTTGGTTAAATCTTGCTGTGTAGCCTTCTTATCCACTTGGCCAACCCAAAGAGTAGTACTGCACACTGTCAAGACAAAGCAGCAGAGGACTTAAGTCACAGGACACAGCTGCCTTAGGCAATAATAACAATAGATAAGCTTAAGGCAGCACGTAAGTAACACCTGACAGTGGCACAGCAAACTGCCATATTTAAAAGCTGATTGGGCTCTCAGTATCCGCTTACATTTCTATGGGGCTAGCTTCCTTCATGTCACCTATCTGCAAGCTGAACACCTCTGGACACCATTGTCCATCCACTAGAGAGAGGTGGAATATTAGGCTAAAGGAAAGTTTTAAAACTCCCAATTGATTCTAAAGTGCAATAGTTTTCAAACAACTTCCTACCTGTGACCTTCCCAATACCTCAGGGTTGGAATAACTCGGTGGATGTTTCTCCCAAATCAGCAGGTATATATGAAACCTGCATGAGCTACTGTACCCTTAAGGAAATGATAAATCAGGACTCCTTAACTTGCTATTAAGGACTTGAGAATGAGCTGAATGGCATTTCTTTGTGTGTGCACATTCGTGTGTGCGGAAGAGCATGGGCTCCTTAGAGACTCCGCTGCACACAGATGCACATGACCTGAATTCTGTCCTCATGACTCTTGACCCTCAGCTGGATTGCTCGTGCTTCCTGAATACCTCCTTTTAGAGATGACACATGTACACAGCTTTAGTGTTCTGCATCTAGACTTCAGTTGACATGGTTTTCGAGCATTTTAATCCTGACAGAGCAGTCTAGAACAGCCTTTTCTAGGGTTAACTTAGAGTCTACTGAAGTTTAATCCTTGACAAGATCGCTACCAGGAGTCTCTATTCTTGCTGGTCAGGACCCAACATCTTCCAGGCGTGCACAAGCTTAGTTTAGCTAACACAAACTATGACAATTGCCCTTTCTCAGCTAGTAGTCCTTTGTCTTGTGCAGTCCCACTCTGTGTAATTCTCAGTTCATGTTTCTCTTACTCTAAGACAAAATCTTTATCCCAGGGACCAGTGAGATGGCTCAGCAGATAAATGCACTTACATTGCCAAGACTTACAACTGAGTTTGAGTCTTGAAGCCTATATGGTGGAATGAGAAAACTGGCTTCTCTAAATTGTTCTCAGACCACATACATATATCAAGGCATAGAAAGCATACAGAAGCATGCTTAAGAGAGAAAGAGAGATTTTTTTTTTTAATGGACCTTTCATTTGAGAGACTTCAAATTCTGCTTTTACCAAAGTTCTATAGTTTTACAGACTATGTCTTCCAAAGTTTCGCATGTCACAGGCTTAGTCTTTGGCCCATTGCACCATTGAAAAGTGATGAAACTTTTAAGAGATGGGACTCAAGTGAGGACCTGCTCTTGAAGAGGCTTACAGTCTCCGTTCTGCCTTGCTTTGCTTTCCAGTCATAAAGATCACTCAAACAGAGCAAAGACAAGAAACTTTGAACAGCAAATACAAGCCAAAGTAAACCTTACGGAAGTCACAGTGACAGAAAGCTGCTCCACTATCATGTTGTGCAATGAAGTGTAAATGCTTCAAGAACAAGTTCCAGTGCTCTGGACGTGAACAGTTTTGGGGCTTTCTCACCTAACAGTAACACCTCTTGCCGCACTACAATGTCCTGCAGACTCCAACTGCCTTAGTCTCCAAGAGCTGCTGTGCTAATGTATTTCCTCCTATACAATGCTGCTCTATAATTTTTTTCCCCTAAGAAGCAGTCCTGATTCTTCTCAATCCCAAAAAGAATGAACGCTTAGATCTTGGGTTAATATTCTGTTGATGTTTCACACCACTGACTATCTCTGAAAGCTCTGTATTCTATCATCCGTTTCAAGGACCAGCAGTGGGGAAGCTGACCACACTGTTTCAAATGTGTTGAAAGAACAGCAATTAAAGGAAACTGATTCTGCTTCAAGATGAAGAGTCTTGAGATACTCAATGAAAGATTAGTCACCACTGTACTTTCTCATGCACTTGCTGAGTTTTCCATCTTCTGATGTTTAAACAGTAGAAGAGATAAACTCCATTATAATTTAGCCACAAACTGAAAAAGAAATTCTGAAGCTTGTAGAACATCCATGAACTAGGGGAAATCATTTGACAGGAAATAAGCCAAGACACAAAAAGCATGAAATGTTCTCTCACTACTAGGGAGAAAGCAAAGAACATAAGAAAGGGAGAGTCTCAAACCTGAAAAAGCTATTGAGGAACACACACAGGCTGATAGTCAGACACAAACAGCTCTGAAAAAAGGAAACTTGCCTGCAATGCATACATGAATATTTGTAAAGAAGTCTAAGCATGGATATGTTTAACTTCAGAAGAGAGAGCAAGAGACCTCAAGCATAGGTGCCGAGAATACACAAAAGAACAGAAGTCATAAAAGAAGATGAAAAGCTGTTTTGTTTGTTTGGACTCCATACAGTGTTTCTTACATGGCTGAGAAGTGCACAGGTGCAACTTTCCCTGTCTATTGCAGTAGGAAGACCATTTTCACATCTAAAAGATCCCAGCACCTGCTCTTCCTGAGAGGGCAACTGTGGAGGCTAAGCTTGCTTCCTAATGCCCTAACATTGCAGCAACAGGAATAAGACATCAAGAGTCACTGATACATCTACTACACTGGGCCATTTAGAATGTTTTTTGGGTTTTGTTTTTTTAATATTTTCTGGAGGGAAGGGCTATATAACCTGAGTCTCCACTTTCTTCTTTGAAGCAAAACTACATGAAATTATTCTTAACATGTAACATGCATTCCTATATGTAAAATAAACTACTCTTTTTAAAGAGGAATAATGTTCTATAGCATTAAATACAGTTAAATAATAATTACTTGAGTTTTATATATGTTAATTGCCTAATTTAATCATTACATGGTATACGTACGTACAAAAATAATATATGGAACCTTGTAAGTATGTATAATTATGAGGTATCAAAAATAATACATTTGGGGGACTGAAGAGAGGGTTCAGCAGTTAAGAACACAGCTATTCTTACAGGAAACCCAGTTTTAGTTCCTACCACACACATGGCAGCTTACAACTGTTTGTAACTCTAGTTAATAAGGATTCAACATTCTCTTCTCACCTCCATAAGCACAAAGTATGCAAAGAGCATGTATTCATACATGTTGACAACACACTCATATAAATATATAAACACAAATCTTTCTTAAAACCACACAATTTTTAAAAGAGAAAAACGGATTCCATGCCTGTGCCAATTTAACACATGGCTATCCACAACAATTCTTTATGCGAGGTATCTTATTTGAAGACCACCAGAAAGTAACACTTTTTTTTAGCTCTTGGGCAAAAATGACAATTTCCTCTCTATCATATGCTTCCTTGCTCAGCTGTAATGTTAGTTCTCCCTAAAAATGATAACAGATTACTCCCCAGGCAGAACCTGGAAGAAAAACAACTCATTTTGTTGTACTTAATGATCCTGACCCTCGCCAACTCCTAAAACAAACCCTACCATGAACAAATATGTTTAAGTACACATATTAGATAAAATACAGAGGAAAACGGGTTGTACTACAGGTATTTCTCTTCTGGTACAAAACTAATACCTAGCTGGTATAAAACCTGGGGTTTAATTTCCAACAACAGCAACAGTGCACATGCATACACACATATACAAACATACACACACACAAAATGACCATATAAATACATAAAAATATAGTGCGGGGGGGGGGGGGGAGGAGCCGGAGAGATGGCTCAGCACTTAAAAGCACTGGCTGCTCTTCCATAGGTCCTGAGTTCAATTCCCAGCAAACACATGGTGGCTCACAACCATCTATAATGGCATCTGATGACCTCTTCTAGCGAGCATGGAAAACAGAGCACTCATGTGTATAAAATAAACAAATCTTTCAAAAATATATATAGCAAGATATATCTCTGTGCACCAATTACTCCTACAAATTTGATTACTCACATCTCTTCAGTTACTACTGACAGTAATCACTGTGTCATGTTACAGATATCAGCCTCATGTGTTTCCAGTACCCTTGTCCAAAGCATATTTTACAACTTGCATTAAATATCCTTAATAATCTTACATACATCTGCTAATAAGCTTTTCTTCCCCAAAAGCCTGAGTCAAAGCCTCATCAAGACCCTCCCTTTTTAGTCTCTCACTCTCAAAATAAAAATGGGTAAGAGATTTTTACAGCAGAAAGCTAGTTTGTCTGTTTGTTCTAGGGAAGGGAAGACCTTCATCACATGTAGAGACCAGAGACCAACCTTAGGTGATTCCTCAAGCACTGTCCAGGATGTTTTTGTTGTTGCTGCTGTTGCTGAGGTACAGTCTTCTGCGGGCCTGAAACCCACCTGTTGTCCACCTTTTCAGGCTTTTGCGTTGAGGCTCAAACCCAGGTCCCTATGCTTCTGCAGCAAGCACTCTGCAACCCTGAGTCCTCCACAGCCACGGAGAACTAGTTTCCAATACTGACTCTAAGGGAAGCTTGATACAAGCTTATAACTCACCACTTAGTGTTTTTGATCTGACGGGAGGCAATCCCTTTTTCTGTCGTTCTTTCTCCCTCTCTCTAGCTCTTCTCTCACTTGAATATGAGCGTGATGATTTTCTCTTTCTTTCTCTCGAACGGGAGCGAGATCGCTTCCTGTGCTTTCGCTTTCGAGACCCAGATCGTGACCTGGACCTTCGTTTTCTTGGTGACCTACAAAAATATAATATATTAATTTTAATTAATTATATTTAAATTAAATATATTTAATTTAATATAAATATATTTATTTTAATATAAATTATATATTTTTATATATATTTTATTATTTTATATTATATATATTTTATATATATATAAATATATATTTATATTTATTATATTTTATATTATATTTATATATTATATTTATATATTTATATATTATATATATTATATATTATATTTATATATAATATATATTTTATATTATATATTTTAATATAAATTTAATATAAATTTAATTTAAATATAATTTAATTTAAAATATAATATATAAAATAGAAATATTTTATTTCTAATGACAGTATTATGTTTCAAACAAATCTTCCAATTTGAAATGAAAGAGAAAAGGCAGCATTTATCATATTTAACCACCTCTTAAACTATCCTATAGTATAATCAACTATTAAACAAGTGTTCCACTGTATTCTTGAGCTATGGATGGCCACATTACTGATACCAGATGACTGATTCTGAGATTTTATTCATTTAAAACACAGGGGGAAAAAAAACATAATTCAATAAAGGGCCTCGCTTTCTCTTAGCTCATTTCTCTTTAGCTCATTTTCACATAGAATAGGAATAAAGATCAAAGAAAATAAAAACTCAGGTAACCCAAATGTTACATATTTTCTTTAAAAAAAAAAAAAAGCAGAATACGTCTAACACAGAGGACACCATGTAATCCTGTTTAATGTATTTTAACTTCTAAAATGTTGTAATTCTTGACTTGACAATACAAGCTGATGCTGAGTCCTTTTTATTTACTGTGCATGCTTATAAGCATGTTCCTATCTAAAGGTGGAAAGTAAGAATGTCAGAGAAGAGTGACTTGGTTTTGATTATAGGATGTGTTGGTAGTATACTTAACATTCGCAATACCTGCTTTGGGGGTGTCTGGGGAGATACTTTTGGTATTGCTATACAGTTATTTGGAATTCAAGAAATACAGCTAGACTTAGTGACTGTTCATCACCACTAATCCCCAAGTAAGGTATTGTGCTAGTATCAACTAAAATTAACTATAATCCAAAAATTACATCACAACAATAGCTGTTACATAAAGTATGCAAATAGCGCGTGAACAAAGGCTATCTTCTGGTTTTAGTTTTTAATTACTTTCCCTGATACTGTTTTTTAAAATCACTAAGTACTTCCTTTGATCTTAATGCAAAGAAATAAATCAAACATTAAATATTATTACAGAACCTTGATCGAGATCGTGAATGAGTTCTTGATCTTGAGCGAACAGCTACTTTCTTAGCTTCTGGTTCAAAGATCTCCTCTTCAACAACATCTTGCCCTTCATCAATATCCATATCCTAGGAAAGCAAAGTTCAGGGCACATGAACAAAAACAAGTTAATATTTAGGATACAAGTGGAATTCTGCCTTTAACAAGTTTGCAGTGCGCATTAATGCCTTGGAGTTAACAGATGTGGGTGTGTGGAGCATGCACAAGAAAACTACCTTCAGAACATAGCACATTCACAAAGAACATTTACATGGTTAAAAGACTTTGAACATTTTTGTTTGTTTTCATTTTTGTAAAGACAGGGTTTCACAGTACAATCCTGGCTGTTCTGGATCGTACCCTGTAGTCTAGGCTGGCCTCGAACTCTGGCCTCTGTCTCCCAACTGGCAGGATTAAAGGCATATACTACCACTGCCTGGCTGACTTTGAATGCTTATGACTCAGAAAAGCAGTGACTTTTACCTGTTGCTGAATGTCTATGGAATCATCTAAATTTGCTTCAGGTTCCAGAAAATGCTGCTGGCTACTTCCTTGTGAGGGGGAAGCTGAGTGCTCGGACCCAAATGTTCCCTCCTGGCTATCTTGAGGAGTTGCCTGTTGAGAACAAACAAATGTTCTGAGACATTATTACAAATGAAAAGTTGAATACAGCAAATATCACAATAAATGCTTAAACGGAATCATATTCATGAGAAAACATTCCTAGAGTAATCCATCTGAAGTTGTACTTTGTATAAATCCAAGTCTACTTTTAAAAGGAAAAGTTCTATAGAGGGTACTTATATGTATTTGTATGAAATGGTTAGAGGACGTAAGTCTTCAAGTACATTTTTTAAGTGGCAAAACTATTAAGAAGTAATACAGAGATAATTAATGATGATTAATCTACAACTACATGAATAATTAGTAACAACAAAATACTCTAAAGGTCCAATTAAAACTTTATATTCAAAAACTTAAATCACATTTATGCTTAGAAGCGAAATAATACCTAAAAGTCACTACCAAAATTAGTGATTTAGGCAAAACTATTCCCACCTAGAGTCTTCCCCAACTACTTCCTCTAAGAGTTCATAGAACAGTTACAGAAAACACAAATAAAGACAAACATGCCCCACGGTCAATACTGTAACGATAGGCAGTAATAGTGCAAATTTGCTGTGACTGAGTATAGACCTGAGTAACAATTTAAATACTGACTTAACTAAAACATGAAGTAACCCACTATGGAGAAAAGCAATCTGGTAGAAAATCTTTCTAGAACATGACCTAGGAATCTAGGAAGTAGCAGATTCCTACTAGTACACTGGCTAAAAACAAAATAAAGAAAAGAACAACTACATGTTCATATTTTCTTGTTACACACTGCTCAGAAACAGCTCTCAAATGGAGGAAGTAGTGCACACACCTTAGAGATGCAGAAGCAAATGGAGACCATGGGAAAGATCTGACTCCCAAAAAAAACAGACAGCAATGTACATGCTTCATATAATCCAGAAAGAAATAAGCAGCTCTGATTTAAACCTACTTAAACCTAAGAAAGTCTATTTGCCAAACCTGGTTAGATATGCCCTTAAACCCAGAACTTGGGTTTAAAGTCGTGCGTATCTTTGCCTGATCTACAGTGAGTTCTAAGACAGCTAAAGCTATATGCAACCCTGTCTCAGAAACAAAGGGAGGGAGGGAGGGAAGCAAAAGCTAGTCAGTCAACGCAATTAAATAGGCAAGCACAGGAGAGAAGACCTGTTGGTGAGGGTGAGCGTTGCGTCTCATGCTGATACTCAGCTAGCCAATAACGCAGACCTTAAGAAATGTCATTAGAAGCCAGTGTCCTTCAAATGTCGAAGGGCCACAGGGCAGTCAGCTCTGCCTCAGCTGCATCACACCGTCTCTACGGGCTGTCTATGTACTGGGTCACCTTACAGAGAGAATATGAACCGTATTTGGTCACAGGTAAATGTGTCAGAGTAACCCTGAAGTTGATTAACTAGTCTTAGGAATTCATATCATCTTAGTATGTATGTATATTTTTCTAAAGTTCAGTGAATGGTTTGTTTCAAGTTCAGAATGTGAGGACTGGCAGGACAGTTCAATGGCTAGAGGTACGTAGAACAAGAGAACCAACTCCCACAAGCTGCCATCTAAATTCATAAGGGAGCACCCCCATGGTAAACTAACCAATCAAAAAAATAGTTCATACCGTGCTTTTTACAAAAGTGAACTCACACTGGCTACAATGTGATAGCATATAAGGGTATCTTAGGTATATGTTCACATACCATTACAGTAAGACAACGTTGGTGCACGTTTAGAATCTCTGTAGTGCTTAAACTGCATTAAGCCAACTGGCATGGTAATTTGTTTATGAGGAAATTTAAAGATGTTACTCTTAGAAGTAGTGCATTTTACAACTAGAAAAAAAAACATAAGATTCAGGGCAGAGTTTTAAATGACAATTGTTAAGTCCCTTTGCGTCTGAGGAACATGCAGTTTTGCTTTATTTTGTTGCAAAGTTGGCAAATGCGCATTAAGCAACAGTCAGAACTGACAGACCAGTGTCTCCCTAGTCACAACAGAACCCAAAAGGTTGTAAGTAAGTGTAAGCTTTGTTTTTCTTTCCCTGGACTTTACAGTAATGGGTGTTCCGCCCGAGTGACTGTGTGTGAAAACTGCACATGCACTGCCCAAAGAGGCCAAAAGAGGGCACTGGATCCCCTAGGGCTGGAGTTGCAAACTGTTAGGAACAGATGTGGGTGCTGGAAATCTAGTCTGGGTCCTCTAGCAGAGCAGCCAGTGCTCTTAGCCACGGAGCCATCTTTCCAGCCCCATGTAAGTGTAATCTTCCAGAACAAAGCAAACAAACGTGTTTCACACCCAACTCTAGCTGAAATGTTTAAATGATAAAGAACAAGACCGTTGGCCACAAACAAGGAAGGTTTTCACTGCTAAATTCTATCGTCTGTGTTTAGCCTTCTTTGAATGTTAGATATTTAAGATTTAGACAGCAAAGACAGCTCACAGACATACACACTCACCAATAATTAAAATTAAAGCAGGCGAGAAATGAAAAAAAAAGCATATTCTAGATAATAATGATGACAGAATTTAAAAAAGCAAAAACATCATAACTGTATCTGTCAAACCAAACAACTAGTAAGTGGAAAGCATACCTGTGCACCCAAGAAGAATAAAAGAAACAACTAGTCACAACCAATCACCCCAAAACGACATTATCTTGATTTTGGATCAAAAACCTAGAATGTTCCACTTTCTTAAAAGGAGTATCACCATTTCAACTTAGCTGGCAGAAAAGAAAATTCACAAACTGAAATTATATAAAAATTAGTTAAGTTCTCTATTCCTTTAGTCTTGCTTCTATACTCAGAAAGTATCCACTGTATCTAGGAGGGAAATGACTTTTTTTTTTGGTATAAGCCTGATAAAAATGTCTAGTCTCTATAACTACGTATTCACGATGATGATAAAGTTTCTAATTCTCTATAATTCTGGTCTTTTTTTTTGGGGGGGGGGGTGGGGGGGGTGGGTGGGTTTGGTAATTAGAAACATACTCCAGTTTTTCAAGTGTTTTTAAACCTTTAAAATGCTTTCCTTCTTATTCCTGGGGCCTGGACCCCAAGGTACAATGCTGCTATGGCTGACCTGCATGGAGAAAGGTGGCATCTACCTTTGTTTGGGATAGTTATATGGATTTAATATTAACAAATGTGCTTTACTTTTCTGCAAATGTATGCTATTGTGTGTTGTTAAAGATTTAATTTAAAGCTGGGCATCGTGGTACATGCCTTTAATCCCAACAACTGGGTGACAAAGGAAGATGGATCTCTGTGAGTTGGAGATCAGGTCTACCCAGTGAGTTCCAGGATAGCCAGAGCCATATAATGCCATCCTGTATCATAACTGACCACTCCTCAAAAGTATTTATTTTTATGTATGTGTATGCATGGGCATGTGTGTCCTGGGCATCTTATCTGAAGCTGAAGTATTGGGTGTAAACCACCCAACACGGGTTCTAGGAGACGACCTCTGGTCCTCTGCAAGGAGAAGCAGGTACTCTTGAACATGGAGCCATCACTCTTTCCATCTTGAATCACACAACTTATACATATACCTGTCACCCAGTTAGCATCCCGCTCATTAAGTCCGTCAGTTTCACACTGTTCACTTCAGACATTAACAAACCATTGCTTGTCTATTTATTACTTTACCAGGTCTGTGGTGATTTGAATAGGTATGGACCCCCCCTCCCCAGACTCACATGTTTGTATGCTTGGCCATTTAGAGTAGCATTATTAGGAGGAGTGGCATTGTTGGAGTAGGTGTGGCCTTATTAAAGGAAATGTGTCACTGTGGAGGTGGGCTTTGAGGTCATATGCTCACGCTAAGCCAGTGTGGCACAGTTTCCTTCTGCTGCTTGTGAATCAACACGTAGAACTCGTACCTCCTTCTCCAGGACCATGTCTACCTCAATGCTGCTATGCTTCTCACAATGATGTTAGTAGTCTAAACAGCTAAAAGTATAAGCCAGCCCCAATTAATTATTTTCTTTTATTATGAGAGTTGCTGTGGTCATGGCACCTCTTCACAACAATAAAACCCTAACTAACATATAAGTTGGTACCAGGGACTGGGCTATTGCAGTGATAGGCCTGACCATGCTTTTGTCTGGAGGAATGTGGATCCTGGGACTTTGGATTAGGAAAACAGTGGAATGCTTTAAGTGGGGCTAAATGGGCCATCTAGTGGGAACATGGAAGCCAGTGGTGTTGAGGGTGATGTCAACTGTGGGGACGCGGCTCAAGAGGTTTCAGAAAATATTGGTATGTGGCCTAGAGACTGTTCTTGTGATTTTGGCAAAGAAAGAGACTGCTTTTTGCCTTTATCCAAAAAGTTTGCCTAAAGCTACATTGAAGAGTTTTGAATTAATTTCACTGGCAGAGGAAAGCTCAAAACAGGTTAATATTGTGTTTATCATGTGGCTAATAGTGTTCATTCCTAGGAAATTCTGTAACAAAACGGAGCAAGCTGAGAAGGAAAATACAAAATGTTCAGGTTCAGGAGAAAAGGGATACCAGGAAGCATAATGGAGCTGAGTCCTGTGTCCAAGGAGATAAAATCCTGATGTTAAATGAAATAAAGGAGCAGTGAACTCAGGGCAAGATACCACACAGCTAAGCTCCCACCTTGTGAAAAGCAGTTCAAGAAAAGTGAAAAATTAAAAGCTTAGGGCAAGGTATAGTAGACATACCTTTAATCCCAGCACTCAGAAGCCAGAGGATGGTAGAAGTTCAAGGACAGACTGGTCTACAGAGCAAGTTCCAGGACAGCCCAGCTTAGTCAGTGAAGGAAACCACCAAAAACGGAAAGCTGGTGAAGATAAAATTAAAGAGGGGGCCGTGTACTATGCCCAACAAGCAGCAGAACCTGGCAGCTTTGGCTACGTGGTTCTGGCTGTAGAGTCAAGGAAATAAGATAGGGGTTACAGAATCTCCCTGTATGGCTAAGAAAGCCGCTGAAGCCAGGTAGTCGCAGGGGTGTCCATAGATGGAGGCCTACAGATGCCCCTGTGTGAAGCCTGGATTCCCTTAGAGATGCCAGAGCCATGTAATACCTGCCAAGAAGACCTGCTAACAGGGAGTATAATGAGCCCAAGAAACAGAATTGTGTTGCAGTCACTAATGCTGAAAGGGAGGGAAGGTCTGCAGAGTGCTCTGATATCACAGAGATGCAGAATTTGGGATTTGCCCAGTTGGCTTTCAACTTGCTTTCATCCAGTATTTCCTTCATATGCTCCCTTCCCTACGTTTTGGAAAATAATGCATATCCTGCGCCATTATGTGTTGGAAGTATGCGATCTGCTTTTTTATTTTACAGAGGATTATAGTTAAGAAACTGCATAAATCTCAGGAGACTTTCAACTTTGGACTTCTCAATAACTTTGAAAGTGGTAGAAACTATGGGAACTTTTAAGGTGGAATGCATTTCCGCATTCTGATGTGGCTACAAGCCTATGGAAACAGGGAGTGGATCTGAACAGGAATGGGCCCCAGAGACTCATGTGTGTGAATGCTTGGCCATGGAGACTGGTACTATTAGGAGGTGTGGTCTTGTTGGAGGAAGTATGTCACTGTGGGAACGACTTTGAAAACTTATACGCCCAAGCAAAGTCCAGTGCAGCACACTGTCTACTGATGCCTATGGATCAAGATATAGAAATCTTAGCTCCTTTGCCATCACTATGTCTGACTGTACAAACTAAACCTTTGTGACTATAAGCCAGCCCCAATTAAATGTTTTCCTTCATAAAGGTTTCCATGGTCATGGTAACAGCAAAGAAACCCTAACTAAGAGTTTGTCTTTTATCATTAGACAAACTTTGGACAATGGCAACCTAACTTCTGTTTCTTCCAAAGGGGTTTTATTGGTAATGTGACAAATTTTTGAAGCTAATACATGAGAAATTGGCTCCTTTTTTTTGGTTGGTGAGACTCTTCAGACTTGGTTTCCTCAAACACCCAGCAGCTTTCATGAGAGAGCCCTACCTTGGCTTACTCCTTCTGCTAAACCTGACTCACACAGCTCGGCCTGTTACACTTACAGCTGGTATGTGCACAAAGCATCACTTCTCATCTCTATTAACTTTGCAGTTACTATCTTGTATGACTGACTCAAACATCCCAATTTTTGTCTTTTTGAACTGTTAATATGGTTTTAGCTGGAAATGTCTCTTACTCAGACAAATTCAGTCAGAACTCATTCATCAGATCAGGCTGTGTCTGTGAATTCTACTAAGTATCACTTGAATACCTCCACTTTACGCTGTTTGCACTTACAAGATCAAGTTCAGTCGCTAACTGCATCTCAAATTGCTCTGAACATCAAAAGTCCTCTTCCACGCTGCCAGCACCCTGCACTGTAATCTCTATTACAGAGACTGTAGAATTTGTGTTTCTATACTGTCTGGGGTCAGAACCACTTTCTTGTCCAGGTTTATATGTGTCACTTTCCTAAAAATGTAGTCACCCATAATATATGTTTGTAGGTTGTTTTAAAATCATGACTGATAGATACCATTAGCTGCATACTTTGCATTAGCTCTTATCGCATGATGCTTCAACTTCTTTTGGAGTAAACAGGAACCGTGGTACCTGCCTCATTAAAGCCAAGTTTAAGTATGCCTCTCCTATGAGTAATGAGGTTCCTACCACATAGTATTAGCAGTGAAATTTTTAGAAATCAAAGATGGTAAACTATTTAGACACTACCATCATCCATGTAACTGGCATTACCTTCCTAGACAAGGAAGTAAAGCAGAAAGAGAAAACATGAAGCTTTAATGCGTAACTGTCTGCTATCTACCATGAAATTCATTTTTATAACAGGGTTTTTGTTACATTGCCAGAGGACTTTTTATTTGTTTGATGATAGGAACACCTACAATGGTCTTTGAAAGGAAATACCTTAGAAAAGACATGAAGACGAATGAATAGCTCCAACCACTAAGAATGAACACCCAAGCGCCCCACAGAATGCCCATTTGCAGAGCGCAGTACACGCAGGAAGCACAGACCTTCTGAGGCTGCTGCTGCTCCAGGAGCTGCTGCCGCAGCTGCTCCAGGTTCTGCTGCTGCAGCTGTTCCGCTATCTGATGGAAGATGGAGTTGTTCACAGACTCGGAAACGTGAGAGCTAAAGTGAAAAACAAGAGTGAAGACACATGTTAAATGCACAAAAGGTAACTTCAAAGTGAGTAGTCAGAGAAAACAAAAACATCATGGACAAAATATCCTCTATTACAGTGATTTCTTTTTGAAATATTAATACTCAATGGAATACTTAGAGCATTAATACACCAAGAGAGAAATATACTCAATAATATTTCAACAAACAAGCATTAGAGATGCTCTGTTACAGAGCTGACATCACTGCTTCATGCTGCGTACATGGGTATGCTGTACATATAAATTAGTGACTTTTATTAGAGTACTATAATACTTGTAAACACTTATAAAAACAGCAAAAATATGTAAATATTGTCAATTTGAAATAACTCGTGTTTAACTGTGGGACAGTGGAAAATCTCCTATCAATCAGTATGTGTAAAATCTTCAATAATCACTGCCCATAAACTTTATAGAGTATGTTCCCCTTAAATAAGCATCATGGGATTAGATGTGTTAACAGAAACAGACAGTGTTTAGATAAAAGAGAAAAATAATAATATAACTATACTCTGGGAAAGTCACACCTGGAATTCTGGGTGCCATAAGGTAAGACATGAGAAAAAAGATGGCATCCCAAAAGGGGCAAGCAGGATGGTGAGAGGTCTTGAAACAGTTGAAAAAAAGAGTACATCATCTGGAGCAAATAAACCTATGGGGAAGAACGATATCTATCTTCAAATACTGAAAGGCTATGTCTTGAAAGAAAATGGAGTCAATTTATTTCATTGCTTCAAAACACAACTTTGGATTGATGTCTAGAAAATGGTGGAAATCGGTTCAACAGAACATGTAAGACTAACAGTCAACACAAACTCCTGGGAAGGTGGGAAAGCACTGACTCGACACAACAGGACTATTAAGAAATTCTTAACACTATATGACCTCAAACGTCTCTTCCAACTACTGAGAATCCGAAATTCTATTTTTAAACTTGTCAAGAAAAGTCCCTGTGTCCAAAGAATGTATTTTGTGTATCTTATACATTACCCCAGTATATAGAAACTAATACCATCTGTTTGAATGAGATCCCAAAAGCTTTCAGCAGTCATGCTCCCTCGCCCTCTCTCCCAACTTCCACCTCTCCCACTCTCCTACTGGTCTTTATAAAACCTCTCATAAGACATAGGATTCTTACAACTGTTTAAGGGGGAAAAGTCAGCCAGGCGCAGTGGTGCACACCTGTAATCCCAGAACTCAGGAAGGCAGAGGCAGGCAGATCTCTGAGTTTGAGGACAGCCTGATCTACAAAGTGAATCTAGGACAGACAAGGATAGTGTCTCAAATAAGAAGGGGGAGGAGTATCACAGATTTAAATAAAAATACAAATTCCATTTATTTAAATAAACAAAGCCCATATAGTTTCAAATCTTTTGCTTGTTTGTGTTTGTTTTTATTTATTTAATGTACGAAAACACTCTGTTTGCGTGTATGTCCGCATGCCAGAGGAGGGCATCAGATCACATTATAGATGGCTGTGAACTACCATGTGTTTGCTGGGAACTGAACTCAGAACCCCTGAGCTTTTAACTGCTGAGCCATCTCTAGTTCCAATCCTTAATTCTAACTAGTTTAATGTAGTTCTCCGAAACTGGCATACTTTCTAGAAGTGGACTTTGACGGAAGCACCTGTCCTCCTATTACAAAGATTCGTGCAACTAAGTTATTTCAAGCCAACAGATATAAAAAATATCACAACAAGACTTAATAATGCTTATCAATTTAATTTTGATATATCCCAACTATTTGCAAAGATCTGAAAAAGTCCAAATAATTTAGGGCATATTAAGATAGCAAGTCCACCACCCTCCTTAATTTTGGTGTCTATTGTCTGAAACAGCACCCCAAATGATGAAAACCTTACTCTGTTAGGGCTGTTAACATCCCACCCAGTATTTAGAACAACAACAAAAGAGCATACAGGTACAAAGCAACACATAATTCTTACAGTTGAGGAGTAGGCATTTCCTTCTTGGATTCTTCACTATGCTCAGAATCTTCCCCAAAGTCAAACCTATCCATCAACTTCTAAGAAGGAGAGAAAGAGACAAATTAAAAAGCGCTCCCCACGGGTACACTTCAAATGCTCTCTGTACCGTGAAGTGTTGTGTGCCATTTTATATTATACCACAGCAGAGTAAGGCATGTTAAGTGCACGCTTTTAGAGTACTAGTACTGTAACACACAGCTGTCCCCTCACACATGTTCATCCACACAACTTCATTTACTCATGAACCAGTGTCATTTGAAAATATTATTGCTGTGATTCTCCAGGAGAAATCACAACCATATAGTTTCATTATATCACTGTTTTTCTATTTTCACTGTGCTTGACTTATTTATTAAGCATTATCACAGTATGTGCAGATATCTGCATGTGGTTTAGTACTATCTCTGGTTTCCAGGCTCCTCCAGAGGTACAGGAATGAGCTGAGGACTTGAGGGGACTGCTGCATCATCATACAATGGAATCAATTTTGACAAAGGCAAAAAATACACTAAAACAAAGTTTTGGTTTTTGAGACGTGGTTTCTCTGTGTAGCCCTGGCTATCCTAGAATTCACTCTGTAGATCAGGCTGGCCTCACTCAGACTCAGGGATCACCACCTGACTTTACCTCCCAAGTGCTAGGATTAAAGGTGTGTACCACCATGCCCAGCTCACAAAACAATATTTACAGAAAATGAAGGATTATCAAACTATAACCTAAAAAAAAAGCACTGAAGAGCATAATTAACTAGTCCTACTAAGAACTTCATGTTAAAATATGGTCCAGCTATGAGGACCAAACAGGAGGAACTGGCCAAATCATTATTCAAGAAATCAGTATTGCTTTTTCTATAAAACTAGTAACAGAAATAACACACACACACACACACACACACACACACACACACACACACACACACACACACACACATTTCCAAGCAACATTCCTGACAACCACAATGAGTGTATCAAACAAAAATTCATAAAACAGCCTTAATTTTAAAAACACTATTTTTCCATAGTTAAGCTTACACATAAAACATAAAGTAATGTCAATTTAGAAAATTGTCCTTTGAGCTTGCACATACTCGTTATTTTACCAGGTCAAATTACAAAAGACAGACCACCATGGTCAGCACTTGGAGGCTGAAGCAAGCAGATTATGTATTAAAAGCAAACATGGGCTACACAGAAAGGTCAAACACATACAGTATAAAATAAATAAAGTAGAATCTAAATGATGCTACATAAAGTTTATCAGTTCATATCAGTATTTTAATCACTACCTTATTGAAAGAGACACCCTGATCCAAGGGTGTAAGCGTGTTGGCTGCTGCAGCTGCGGCTGTAAGTTGTGCTGTGAGTGCTTGCAACTGAACCACAAGACCAGCATCCAAGGCCTGCAGGATGGAAGGCTGGGGCTTTTGCTGTTGTATCTGTAAGGTTTGTATTAGCTGCTGAAGCTGGAAGGGAAAAAATAGTTTCATAATTCTGGGGTGGTACTGGGGTTTTATGAATAAACAGTTTTAACTAATAAATTTTACCATCCTTCTGAGAAAATGTTTTTATATGCTGTGGTTTGAATGAGAAGTGTCCCAATAGATATGTGTCTGTGAACATTCAGTCCTCCTGATAATGGTGCTGTGTGGTAAGGTTATTAACTCTAGAGGGAGAGGGGGTTGCAGCACTTGGTCAGCACTTGGAAGGAAGCACACCAGTGGAGGCTGCAGGCGGGTGTGGAGAGCGTGCAGCCTGGCCGAGCTTCCACTTCACATTATGTGCTGGGTTTGCGGTTGGCGTTGTGATCTCCAGGCTTCCCGTGTGGCAACTTTTTGCTCTAGATACCTGCTGCCATGCTTCTCTTACCACTGTGGATTTTCTTTCTCCCTCTGGACATCTAAGCCAAAATAAACTCTTCAATGAGTCTACTTTAATCATGGTGTCCTAACACAGAAATGAAAAGTATTAACAGAAGTCAGACAACCTAAGGACATGAAACACTAATATGTCTTGCAGGAACAATGGAGGCTGAGCGGCTGGAGCATAAAAAATAAAAAAAAAAAAAAAAATTCAGCCACGATGAAAACTGTCCAGGAAGTACTTCCTCAGGGTCAGCACGGAAGCTGTGGACAGCAGGCAGCTGAAGCTGCACATCAGGTATCAGGACAATTTGGCAAACAGTGTCTCCCCACATGGTACTGGCTTTAAATGATTGAAGGGATCACAAAAAGAAGCTAAAAAGTGGCACTATGGAAGCTAGAGATGGCTCAGCAATTAAGAGCAATGGTTGTTCTTCCAGAAGACCCAGGTTCAATTTCCAGCACCCACATGATAGTTCACAACCATCTGTAACTACAGTCCCAGGCACCCAACAACCTTTTCTGGCCTCTGGAATTACTAGGCAAGAATGTGGCTCAGACATTCAGGCAGAACACCCGTGCACATAAAATAAAAATAACGAGTGACACTATGTGGCAGGGTCAGACTCTCTAAAGACAGGAAAGGCCACTGGCAAAAGTGCAACCTCAGTTGCAGTGGTGACCCCAGCATACTAGAGATGACAGGATTGTGGCAGCTGTGGTAGAGCTGCCTTGAGTCTATGAGAGAAGATTTTTGTGTACTGTGATTGGCAGAGCCAGAGAAATGGAACTGTTCAACCCTTTGGAGCTAGCCCAAACCATGAGTCAGATACTGAACTTTCTTTACACTGCTGGATATTCGTTTTAGTTTGCTTGGACTGTTAACTGCCCTGGTTCTTCCTTCTTGGAATAAGAAAGTATACAGTGTAGCAGGGTGGTGGTGGCTCAGATCTTTAATCCCAGTACTCAGGAGGCAGAGGCAGGCAGATCTCTTTGAGTTTGAGGCCAGCCTGGTCTACAGAGAGTCCAGGCCAGCCCAGGATACAGTGAGAAAACCTGTCTCAAAAACAAAAAACAATCAAAAAAGTATACAATGTAGTTTGGAATTTACAGGAGCACACAATGAAGAAACCTATGAATTTTTAAAGAGATGCTGGCCTCAGTGTTGAAATGTTTAAAGCTGTGATGTATTTTATATTATGACTTAATGTAAGATTTAGTGAACCAACAAAAGAAACTTTATGGTTTAAAGTGGTGTTTGCTGTGTCAAAATTAACAAAGGATGAAATATCATAGTAAAGATTTTAGGTGTCAACTTGACATAAGCTTAGTGTCACCTGGAAGAAGGAATCTCAAGAGAAGACCACCACAATCAGACTGGCCCGTGGTCCTGTTTTAGCAGTATATTCTTAACTACCATTTAATGTAGGAGGGCCCGGGTCACTGACAGTGGTGTCACCATTAGGCAAGAGAGAGCTTGGAATGTATGAGAAAGTTATGTGAATGTGAGTCGGAAAACTCCATGGTCTCTGCTAGCTCCAGGAAGCCTTGGTTCCTGGAAGTGTAAGTCTCTTGCAAGTGTAAGCTCAAAGAAACCTTATCTTCCAAAGTTGCTTTGGTCTGTGCTCACCACAGCGTAAGAACAGATGAAGTAGGTAGAATGTAAGCCCTTGGAAAGCTTGGCCTACTTTTGGAAAGTCATGAGCATTATTCACAAAATAGTCAACCTCTAGCAACGGAACAGACAATTCCTCCCCAGTTGGAGGCTTCCACTAAGCTCCTCATTCTTTTTCAGTTAATCACACAAGGCTAAGCCCTATAGGACAGAAGCTTTTCAATCAATCTGAGCAAATGTCTGAGAACAGAAGAGAAGCCTGATCAATAGGCAGAGTCGGAGAATCAACAGAATGTGCCACTAACGATGAGCATAGCAAACTACAATTTCAGCAATGCTTATTCCTGCCCTTCACCCATCTTTAAGAAACAAAACACAGCATGACGATGAAGAAATGGCTCAGTGGTAGCATTTGCCACACTTCCAGAGGACTCAGGTTTGGTTACCAACACCCATATCAGGCAGGTCCCAACCACCTGCAACCCCAGCTCCAGTTGACCAAATGCCCTCTTCTGGCCTGCAGATATACACATAAATAAAATAAAATCTTAGAAAACACAACAAAACGGAAACACTTAAGAAGGCTGGTGAGGCATGTCTGTGGGTAAAGGTGCTTGCTCTCAAGCCTAAGGACCTCAATCCCTAGGAACAACAAGGTAGAGGAGTGAATCAATGCAGACAAACTGTGACCTCCATACACTTAGGTGCATTCACACACAAGAAAACACATATGGTAATAACATGTGTATGAGCCTATAGGAAGTCCCTGGTGCATACAAATACAAGGATTATACTGAAGTTGAGGCAGTAACCCTCAACTATAGAACTACAGTTCTATATAAAACTGAGTGAGCAGTGAGCTGTACTAATGCTCTGCAGCAAAGGAGGCCAGTTACAATTGACAATGATTATTTTAACACATTGAGGAAAGAGAATGTGACTGTTCACAACCAAAAGATGTAATAAATAGCTGAGATGGTAAATATTCCATTTACCCCAATCTGAACATTGCAAATAATATACATGCATTGAATATCTTATTACTGCTTCATAAACACACAACCGCCTTGTTAATAAAACAAAAACCATATAGTTTACTTTTTATAATTTGTAACTGTCAGTAAAGATTAGAAAAATGAAAATGACAAAGCTACTATTAACTGCTAGCATGAGAAGGTATAAATACCATTCAAGTGGCAGTAAATCTCAGATCAATCTTAAAACAGCAATAATAGAAAACAAACTAGAGCCATGCAATTATAAAAACATTGTAATATTATTATAATATTGCATATTATAATACAGTAGAAAAAACCAACATGAACATGGCCTCTACCACTAAGGTCAACAATGACATAAAAGCATTAGAATGAAGAGAACAGCATAGGAAGAGAGGGGAAACAGAGCTGCCCTACCCCTCCTTCACACAACTCAACCATTCCTCTGACCTCTCCATTTCCCTCATGACTGTTAAAATCACCACAGCAGTAACTTCTCTACAGTGACTTCATAATCTGTTGGTTTCTGCCACAATGGCCACAGGAAGCAACCTGTTTTATCGGTGGGATAGCAATGGCACCTAACAATGATTGGCACAAGCTATGTGCTACCTCAGCATTCTGATATAGAAAAAAGCTTACAACAGAACAAGATAATGTTCACAGTGAGTTACCAAGTGAGAAGTACAAGTTGCAAATGTAACTTAGAGGTTATAAGTGCAGTGTTTCCACTGTTAGAAGGAAAGGACAACCTAACTTTAAGACAGTATGCTGTGGAAACACAGCATACTGAAGCTTCTTGAACAACACAAGGACTGCTCACCTGTTGACCTTGAGGACTCTGTAAGATCTGAGCAACAGCTGCCAGCGTGTCTGTGTTTGTTATCTGAGACACCCATGGATCAGGTAAGCCTTGGACCACATTAGCTGGAGTAACAGGTGTCACAGGTGTTCCTTTTAAGAAAATAACATCACACAAACACACAAACAAATCCAAAAATGAAAGTAAATAAACAATACTTGAAAAGGTAAGGAGATTTATTCAGTTAATATATAAAATATAAGCAAGCAGTATGTTTTCACTTTATTGCCTCCATCCTGAAAACCACATAGAGCTTTTATGTAATTAGGCAGTTTTACAAACAGGAAGGAAATCCTCCACTCCAACTCCTATAGGATATATCCACAATTCTCTTCAATAAATTCAGCTATGACTTTAATGAAGCCTGTCATCAAAGGTCAACTACAGAAAATTCCTTAACAGGGGAAATAACAAAAATACAATCTTTCCTGGTAAAAACTATGAGTTTGTATAAGATAAAAGCATTTTTTTGGTTCAAAACTTACTTATATATAAACATGTTTATGGACAGGTGTACAACAAAAACTACATACCAAGAGGTTAATGAATGTTAGGTTCAGAGCAAAACTGAAACTATAGCGTAAGTGTTCCAAGAAGATAAAATTTTGAGATAATTACATTAAAGCAACCTTGGCTTTTAAGCAATTTTTGAGTTCTTCTTAAAAAATTATATCCTCCAATTTCCTGTAAACATCAAGTTAGGTTATATATACAAGTTTCAGGAGTTGCAGACAACCTAAATCAGGAAATTCTCATTGAGAACTGGGATGTGGCTCAGTGAAAGAGTGCTTCCTAGCATATGCTAGGCCCTGCATGCAATCCCTGGTAGTGCTAAACAAAACAAAAATGAACTGTAATAAATACATTTTCCAAAATATATGTGTATGCTTCTTGTGATTGAAAAATAAAATAAAATCAGTTTTTAAATTTTGTTTTCTAAATTTTAGATTAACAGCAAAAACAAAACAAAAAAAAGTTTTATTTCATGAACTTAAAAGAGATACACCTGCCTTATCTCCCCAGTATAAGGATTAAAGGCATATACCACTGTTTTTCTTCAATGACCTAGTACTGGAAAAATTCCTCTGTGCTGTTACCTTGTCATTTTACAAATGAGTGACAGGGTAAGGAGTAAGACCTGAGTCTCAGACATTGAGTCTGCATTATAGTCACATACCTGGAGTATTGCTCATAGCTGCCGTGGTGCTGGCCAAAACAGGGGTGACAACGGGGGGAGGAATCCCTGCTGCCATATCCAGAAGAGGCTGGATAATCTCACTCTTAAAAACATTATTCTTCTGCCATAAGTTTAATACTCTTACTATTTTACTCTAGAAGAATAAAAAAAAAAAAAGACTTTAAATTTTTTGCTTTAAAATGTTAGCACAACTCATTTCACAGATTATTTGAGCATAGGATGTAAAGAAGATTAAAATATATGGTAAATTTCATCTCGAAAACTGTTTTCAACTACTACACATTTTCTAACTTTTTCTGCTTTCAAATTCTTAGCACACTCACTTGATAGAGGTTATGTAAGTATACAATGTAAAGACATTAAAACACTTCTATGGTAAGTTCCAATCTGAACTGTTGTTAACCATTCTGCAATTCCGAACTTTAGGCAATAGGGTACACAAGACAGCTACACAAGAAGAATGAAAGTTGCGTTTAAGGTATGCAGGTAACAACCAGGCTCCACCTTCTATGTATTCCAAATCATGTGGAATTGATAACAGTCACCTACACAACTGCCCTGAACTCCCACCTTTCCATGGGTCCCAGGGTCAAATGAAGGCTCCCTGGCCTCAACAGCAAGCACTTTACTCACTGGGCTACCGCATGTGCCCGGCCCTAAGAACTCCAAAGGCAAGCTCAAGTTCTATCTCAATATCATGCACACACACACAAAGGCGAAGTTAACCCTGACTCGTACAACGCTTACCTTCTCAACTAGCAAGTAACTTCAGGACAAAGTCCTCAGCTAATGTGACTCTTAAACAAATTTCACTTTATAAGCTATTTAAATAACTTTAGGGAGGGCATTTCTCCACTTAAGAAATGTAGGTCAGCGCCTGTGTTCAGCCTGTTTCCCTGACCAAAAGAAAAAGGACAATTTACCAAACTCAATTCCTGTCTAACAACCTTGCCATAAATGTACTTTAAACCCAAAACAATATACTTCTCAATGCACAGCATGAGTCACAGGCCTCTTTCGTCACTGTTCCTACCTACTCTCTCTAGATGGGTAAAGTCAACACTCTACTGGCATTATTCAATTTGGCCCTCAGGGTAAGAATTATATTCTCTAGCAATAAAAGTTTTACATAACTTCATGACTTAGAATACGCCGAGTTCTTTATCACTCTGCAAAAATTAACCCATCATTTGTCTCTTTCCAACAGGCCCTTTGACTACAGCTGTGCATCCAATTCATTCACTCCTCAGTATCAACCCACTCCTACAGTTATGTCATGCTGTGTTTCAACCTAGCACTGTTCTCTACTTAGGGTAAGTCTCATTTTTCGTGAGGTCCATGCAAACATGTAACCTTTAAGTAACTCCTATAAAATTCACTGACATATGTGCCTGACACTTCTCATTCACTCTGGTCCTAGGCCAATCATGTCAATAAATTTTACAAACATTTAAACTCTCAGTTTTATCATTTACAAAGAAAAAAACAATACTACAACAAATTTTTCTTGTTCGTTTCCTGAATTGTGACTGTAAACAACAATCTGCTGCTAGCATTTGCAGATCTTAAGCACAAGCGCCTTGTGGCAAAGGCACAGGATGTCATCAGTCATAGCTCTACTTCAACTTACTTGGAACCCTCATCTTTCTCCAATAGAGAACTCACATGCAATCTCGTCTTAGTTCTCAAATTCTATTAACATGATTGTGTTACCTTAAATAAGGTACCTTAAACAAGGTAACTCAAACTTGAAAAGATTGGGGTGGTTATACAGATCTCTATGTCACAATCAAGAATACTAAGAGCTGGTATTAGAGGTATTTAAGTGTCTCCTTATTTCTAGGATGGGTTTACAGATCCTGGAAGCTACAGGTCTGCAGGCAAGTACAAGCCCAACAAGAAAGGGAGTTCCAAGATATTTCACCATATTTTTTTTTACCTTAAAAGGCTTTATTTTAAATAAACATCAATTATACCCACTTCCTGAAATATACATGTTTTACTCAGAGTAAAATCACCTGAACCCATACAAAGAATAAAAGCTATCCTCTTAATGTCAACATAGAACAATCTGATAACCAAGAACTACCAATTACTACCATTCTAAGGCCATTTGCTACTTTAAGAAAAAAAATTAAGAGGGTGCTGTCAAGCATTGTCAAAGAAAACATTATATGTTATGTATATATACTAGCAAAGGTAACAATTTTAAAAATAAAGATTTTAGCTGGGTGGTGGTGGCCCATGCCTTTATCCCAGCACTCCGAGACAGAGGCAGGTAGATGTCTCAAGTTCAAGACCAGTCTTGTATACAAATTAAGTTCTAGAGACAGCCTGGGCTATACAAAGAAATCCTGTCTCAAGCAAACAAACAAACAAAATAAAAATAAAGATTTGGTTCAATTTAAATAACATGAAGTTACATTAAATGTGCAAATTTTTATACTACAAATGATGCCTAAGAAAAATTATACAAAAAATGCTTCAAGCCTTCTGATTCAACTCAGAAAGGACTGGACATTCTCTTGGCTTATGTAAATATTTCTCAATGTCTGACCAATTATGTTCTCTTCAAAGTAACAATCCCATGTCCCTCCCTTTACTACTGAGATTATAGATTCATCTAAACTTTCCTCGTGTGGTTTGTAGAATGCATTATCCATAAAGACTGTCCTGAAAGGTGTTAGTCATGAAGCCTACAAGATTAAGATGCATTTGTGCACTGTAACTGCCAGAAATTTAAAAAAAAAAATTAGAATGATTTCTAAACCAATGCTGCTAGTTACTACTTCAAATTAATGAATTCTTTTGCATGGGATTCCATTTTAAGAACTCGTTAAGGTATGTGACTGAAAATCTGAAGCATTCTTTAGAACTACCAGCTACTAAAATAATTAAAACAAAATGCAAGAGCTGCCAGAAAGTATATCCAAGTATATTTACAAAGAATATGCTATTGATAAATTTATCAGCGTAATATTAATAGTGATTAAAAATAAAATTACAATCTTGTTGTAAGTTTCAGATTTATGATTCTTCCTTATAAAAACCTTCACCCCTTTTTCTCTTTAAATGTGTGTGAGAGACAGAGAGAGAGATTCAGGGAAACAGACAGACACAGAGACAGAGAGACATACAGAGAAAGGCAGAAGAGGGTGCTGAATCTCCTGAAATTGGAGTTACATACATTTGTGAGCTGCCTGATAAAGGTACAGAGATCAACATCACAGTGCTCTGACAGGAAGTAGATGTTCTTAACAGCTGAGGCATCTCATGTCCTTGTTTACACACTCTTTACCTTTTTCTAATTTAAAAACAGAAAAAAAAATAACATATCCCTTCCAAATCATTATCAACTTCAATGACTTTCTAGTAATTTCAGCAGAGATGTGAAGGGCATCATCTCCCTTTAATCCTAGCTCTGACCCTTTACCTGCTAACTACAGAATACTTACACACACTAATATACGAGTGTTGGTCTTCAGCACTTAAAAAATTAGAACAAAAAAGTTTGATGTGTACTGTTCTATAAACTAATTGGCAGATCCATTTTCCCCAAAACAGAAATATAAACAGCAACTCAATAACCACAATCCTAAACTGATTATATGCACGACTAAATGTCTAATATAATTTCAAAATACTCCTGTAGCCAATTTCTTTTTTACTGAAGTTGTTTCAATAAATTAAAAAGTAACAAAAGCAACTTTATCTTTCTATTCTTTCAAGTTGTAAGAGTAAATAGAAGTATGGCTGTTATAATTATTAAGGTTCAGAGTAACTAAGCGTGAACATCAACACAAGGTCACAAACTGAAGCAATCTAAAGACTGTAAGAAGAGTAGCATGTCTCCTTTAACAGAGTAATACCATACCTTGTCATCCCCAGGGCAACGATATAAATTCTGGAAAGTGCTAATGATGTTATTACTAAATCTGGGTGCAAACACATCCTTTTCTTGACCAAACTGATGCCGGGATTGTCGCACAATGGAGTCAATAACATACAGTCCAGGTACCTTGTATTCTGGTTTACACTGATGAGAAAAGAGTGAGAAGGGGAAGGAAATAGAAAGGTAAAATCCTTGACAGAAAACAAACATTATAAACCCTACTCAATGAACAAGCAGATTCCATCAAGTCCTTACCATCTATATCTGGAACGATATCTTAAAGAACAGAATCTACTTTGGCTACTCAATGCATTCAGGTCAATTGCCATTTACCCAAGTTCCAAACTAGCACTGCATAAACCGATTAGAATGACTAAGAACAACCTGATAAGGAAGACATTGTTACTTAAAAAAATTATTTAATGATTTTGAAAAGCTAGAACAATAGAAGCAAAATAGGAAAGGGTTAGAAAACACTACGCAAGCATGCATTAGACTCCTCCCACTTCTGTATCAGTAAAAGAACAAATGAAACATATATATATGTATATATATACACTATGTATGTGTATATATACATAGTTTGTGTATATATATACGTATATATACACATACATACATAGTATGTAAGTATATAACGTGCCAAATATAGCTGCCCAAAGTTTAAAATTATATCAAATAACTCATCTATAAAGGAGACATGACACGACCACCATAAAAATTCTGGGAAAATTTGTAATGCCAAAACATGCAAATATTTTCACAGTACCCCTACTGAGTCAGTATCTTTCAACTAACTTATCTATGATCTATTTTGTTAACTAAAGGTTCTTGATGTCTGAACACAGGGTTTTCTGAGCTTATGTATTTGAAAGCAAGCTTTCTACTCTAGAACAAGAAACCTAAGAAAACTTGCTTTTCTTTTTCTTTAAGTACTCTCTCTATATGGGTACTCTGTGTGTATGTGCAGCACATGCATAGCAAGCACCTGCAAAAGAGAGACGAGGCTGGATCCCCTGGAAATGGCATTACAAATGGCTGTGAGCTGCTATGCAGGTGCTGGAAATAGAACCCAGGTCCTCTGCAAGGGCAGCTGCTCTCAAACACTGAGTCATCTCTCCAGGCCCAAAAAATACTTGCTTTAAAAACATTATGTTGACTAACACAAAATTATAGTTACAAAGAAGGATCTACTTCTGGGTAATATTACATTCAAATGTATTTTCTTAAAAGCATTTAACAAGCTAACATAAAACAACTTTTGGGACTCTACATATGTAAAATCACACACAAGGCCTACATAAAATCTGTTAATATAACTTTTCTTTTTAAAAAGTTTCTCGTTTTAAAGTAAGTATCTGAAAACACATTTTAAAAGTTCCACATATCATAGTGAAAAAAAACAATCCTTAGGTCACCATTTAATGCCAACAAAAGCTTTTGAAATAAATTTACAGCCATCCCAATGAATAAATTAACCGTGTAAAAAGTCTAATAGACACTTAGTATGTTCTTTCAGATTTCCTTAATGACCTTTATCAAGTCAAGAAAATAAAGAGAAGAATTAATTCAAAGAAATTGATCAAGATTTTTTTGCGTCTAAATGCTTGAAGTAGTCCAAAGTAACAATAAAGGTGGTGTCTGAACATCTAAGATTTGAATAAACTAAAAAATCAAAAATCAACTCTTTAAAATTTGCTCTTTTGAAAGGCTGAAGTCATTCCCTGAACCCACCTCCACTGGAGCATCCTTTCAGTTCATGTGTCTGTCATACTTAAACCTGCCTACCCAGACAACGCATTTCAGAATATTACTTTTGTAACTTAATGAAAGTGAAATTCACATGGTTAAAAATAAAAATTGTCCAGTGATGAATAAGCAATGACTTATTGACCTTATGTTGCCATTTTAATAATCTCACAAATGCATTTTACAGAAAGAATCACAAAGTGCTAATGGGACAAGTTAGCACTAAATAATAAGCTAAGCGAAGCATGTTGTCAATGTGGTTCTTACAAGGTATTTTCCCTTGACTTATAGCACACAGCTTCACAGTGCATCAGCGCCTACCCCAGAACAACTGCCCCACGGAGAAACAGGAAGACTGAAGCTCAGAACTGCACAGCACCAAACACACTCCTTTCGTTACACAAGCCCACCCTGCATAAACACACCGCAAGGCAGGGTCCCTAACACTCGCATATGCCATCTGACCACCCACAGAAAAGCAAAATGTTTTCATTTCCTTTTTAAATAATACAACAGTAGGTCAACACAAAATAAGTAAATACTTAACAAAAAAATTGAAAATTCTCACAGACTGAAAGTAGGATTTCCTAAGCTTCTCTGACATTTTAAATCTGAATTATTTTGCTGTTGATGACATGGTTTGCATGCTTTTAAGACTTAGTCTCACTATGTTGATAGATAGGCCTGAGTAGCTCCTGAGTAGCTGGGATTACAGAGATATACCACCATGTCTAATCTCATATACTTTAATGTTGTTAACATGTTAAATTATCTGAGATACACCATGTTCAAACAATACTGGGATAACTTTCAATCTCTCAAGCTGTAGCAAAACGCTCTCTGATTAAGAGAAAGGTAAGAACGGAGCAATTACACCTTTAGCTGTACTTGTGAGATTTGAATTATGTCCAAGTTGGCATCTGTAGCTATCATCAGAGTGACAAAGAGCCCTTTGAGCAAATTCAGCACATTCTTTGCAACATGTAAACACACTTCACTCAGTAATTCCATTCAAACTTGAGCTGCTACGTTCAAGTATTAAACGGCACCATTAAAGAAAACAAAACTAGACTGGGGAAACACAAGGGGCTGAATCTGCAAATAACTGAGTGATGCTGCTGGTGGCTCTCCCAGGATACAGCTGAGGTGATACCATGTGGGCAATTTTTCTTCTATCTGAAAAGCTGGTCTATGAACCACCAAATTTTAGTGGTATAAAATTTGAATTTTGAGCTACAGGGTGGATACAAAGTGAATAAACTATAATAAATAAAAATTTAAAAAAATTAAAAATTTAAATTTTGGGCAACTTTAGCTGTGTTATTAATTTTGGGTTTGGTTATAGAAACTAATATTCTGTAAATAATTTTAAAAAGAAGTCACACTTATTTTAACACCAAAAAGAGACAAAACAAAGTTGGACTGTGTTACGGGGGCATAAAAAAATGCAGGAGATTAAGAGGTAGCTGGCTTCAGTCTAACTGCAAGAAATGAATGGCAATTACACAAGTCTTCTCCTTATAAAAACGTAGCCATGTCTATAATAACTCTGTGTGTGTGTGTGTGTGTGTGTATTCATATGTACTTTATAATAAAAAGTAAAACATTAGGCAAAAGTGACTGATATATGTATATAAACTGAAATAGTGTGGCATTTAGATCTTAGCTAAAATATCCTAAGGCAAAGAAATTTCAGCAAATAGTAGGTGTGGACAAGGAATCTGTGAAAGTGAACCCCTTTCAAATACCTGTACCATAAAATGTCCAGCTCCTTATGCACCCATCCAAGGGTAAAGAGTCCCTTGGATGACCAAAGTCCATCTTCACTAAGACTGGATAATACATTAAAATGTACATATTTAAAAGGGAAGACAAAAAAAAAACTGTAACAAGTGTTGTTCAAAAGATTCTGCTATTCTTTCTGGGAAAACAGCAACGGGTGGAAAAATAAATGAAGCAAAGGATGACCAACCACTTTAGTTAGCTCGGTTTCAGAAGAGATACCTGGAGGCTGGAGAGATGGCTCAGCAGTTAGAAACCCACACTGCTCTTGCTCCTATCCCCACAACTAGTAGCTCACGAATACCCTAGGTGCAGCTCTAGGGAGACAATGGCTCTGGGCTCCAAACATACCGACACTAATGTGGCATGCAGAAACACATGCACACGCACACATAATTTAAAAATAAAAAGAGGTACTTGTTGTGAAGGATCGAGGTTTCTGGAGAAAAAATTTATGGAAGTGCTAAAAATATTTGTTGTAATTTTTATCTATTTTTCATGTCTGCCTCATGAGAATGACACCAAATAAGTCTCTTCTATAACCAACATAATGCAGAAGAAAATTTAAAGACTAATAAAAGCCCAAAGCGTCCAATTAGGCAGTAATAATTAATGGATAGAATATTACCAGAACCTGGAAAGATCACATGTTCTGCATGCCTTATGGCAGCTAATAGTAGCCACAACACAACCGAATGCAGCTCAGTAAAACAGAGCCTCCAGACTGCATTAAAACAAACAGTACTGAAGGACAGCATTCAGTCCTATTTGAGTATATAAGTATAAATTATCAGTACTCATGCAAAATAGTAGGCTTCACATGGACAAAAAGAAGCTAGTTTAATCAAAATTTCAGGAATGGCGTTAAAGACTTCACAAGTGCATTTCAAACTAGTAAATAACACAGTGGTTAGCTATAGGTAACAGAAAAGTCAGCAAGTCATGGGGCCTTCTGATTCAAAATTAATTTTGTAATTCATGGTAACTAATAAGTTGATTTTTTTTTATAATACAAACACGGGATTAGTGTAACATAGAGCTAACCCAAATAGTACTCCTAAAACTTAGAGTTGTTTGGTGTCTATAGTTCTTTGCTTCGACCTTATAAGAAGCAGACAGAGTGAGATGGTGCAGCTAGTGAATGCGCCGGCCACCAAGGATGATGACCTGAATTTGATCTCCAGGGCCCATGAGGTAGAAGGAGTGACTCCTCTAAGTTGTCTTCATTTCCACCTGTGCTGTGACACATGCACCACACCCTCACATGCGCACACGTGTGTGTAAGTATGTAACCTAAAACATAGCAGAGAATTATCAGAACAGAGTGTTTTCTGGCTCCATCCAACACATCAAAAGCTGGAGGCAGTACTCTAAGTAGCTATTCTATAAGAAGTCAGTGTTAACGTTAATTTTTGATTCGTCACCATTATCCTTCATTCTAGCTATAAATTTTTTATCACTAACACATAGGACCACACACAACATCAAGCTGTTACACACTTGTGCTTGTATTATTTGTTCAGTGTGTAAAGTAAACATAAAATGGTACAGCCAATCTGAAAAACAGCAAGTTCCATAATAGAAAAGATGACTTATTAGCTCCCAAAAAATGAAAGCTTGCATTTATCCCACAACTAGAACATAAATGGTCTCAGCCACTTTATTTCTAAGTCAGAAAGAAACCCAAATGCTTGTCAGTGTGTGAATGCTTAACCTGTGGAACACCCTACACATGAATTTCAAATAGAAGCAAAAGGGACAAACTACTCCAAACATGTAACGGCTGAGCTAATCCTCAGGCAATGATGTAACAGCTGGGCTAACCCTCAAGAAATAATGTAACAGCTGGACTAACCTTCAGGAAATGATGCTGACCTCAAGACTACCTAAAAAGGCTAATTCTACCTGTCAAACATTCTCCATAGGGTTTAAATGAATATTGTGTCGATTTTAAAATGTTTGGATTTGGGACTTTCAGATTAGGCCTACTCATTCTACAACCCAAAATAACGAGTGAAAGTTACAGGCAATCTGTGCTATTAGGACATGCTGTTGTTTGCTGATCTCGTAACATAAATCTCTCATGATTCTAAAATTAAAAGGTTAGCTGAAAATGAGCACCATCAATTTAACCTTACCCAAATCTACGGTTCAGTGAACAGGTGTTAGAGACACAGCACTTCACTTTCTCCCCAGACTGCCTTCTTTACTTGGACTATGCAGAGCCTTACGGAGGTCTTCCCAAAATTCTCAAATCTCTTACTTGACCAAACATATTGCCTGCCCAAATCCCATTAATTTGTAAGTTTCTTCCTGAAACCTGACTATCCAAACTGACTTCTGAATGAGAATCTCGGGCATCAAGTAGGAGTTGGAGGAAACACAGATCTCAGGATCCTCCCCAAACTCGCAGTAATACTTTCTGCATTCCAGCAAGATTCCCTTACCAGTTCCCACATAGTCAAATTTATGAGTCATGGTTTCTACATTAGACCTTTGAAAAGACTCTTTTATTTTTTAATTTTTTAATATTAATTACAGTTTATTCACTTTGTATCCCAGCTGTAGACCCTTCCTCATTCCCTTCTAATCCCACCCTCCCTCATCTCCTCCCATGCCCCTCCCCTCCTCTCCAAATCTATGATAGGGGAGGTCCTCCTCCCTTTCCATCTGAAAAGCATCTTAAAAATTTTACACTGATGGAAATTTCTAGTAACTAACACTGAACTTTACAGTCTGATTTTCTTTAATCAGTATACTTTCACCATATCTTCATCTAAACTACTTAATCCCAAAATGTTTGACTAATATTTTATGGAGAAAACAAAATCTTAAAAAGAGGGACAGGAGGTAGAGATAGCTCAGTGCTTAATTATGAGCATTTACTGCTCTTCCAGAGGACATGTGTTTGATTCCTAGCATCCATATGACAACTCACACCTGCCTATAGCTGCAGTTCCAGGAAATTTGATATCTTCTTCTGCCCACCATGAATACAACATGGTACACACACTTATATACATGTAAGCAAACTCATATACATAAAATTAAAAGTTATAAACGAAAACTTTTTATCTTTTATATCTATTTTTGGTTTTGTGAGACATGGTCTCTACATAACCCTGGCTGTCCTGGAATTCACTATGATGCTAGCCTTGGATTCACAGAGATCTGCCTGCCTCTGTCTCATAAAAGCTGAAGATTAAAGATGTGCACCACCACATCAGCTAAATTAATCCTTGTTAAAAGAGGGGCAGAACTCAAACACAGGTTAGGCCAATTATTCAAGGCAGCCCAGTTTAGAGACACAATCTTATTTTGATCCCTTCACCTTCCATAATAGACTGCAACCTTGCTAAATGTTAATGCCAAATGTAAGTCAATAAAGTGCAAGTTTCTAAGGCAGTCTTAAATAAACCTGCCAGAAAGTGGCATCAACAGAATGCTCATCATAAGAGCACAAAGAACTATGGCCAAGTCACCTAGACTCAAAAATCCATGTGTGCTGGATAGTTTTATATCAAGTTGACACATCTGAAGTCATCTAAGAGGAGAGAACCCCCATTAAGAAAATGCCTCAGAGCAGGGCACAGTGGTGCACACCTGTCATCCCCACACTCAGGGAGGCAGAAGCAGGCAGATCTCTGTGAGTTCCAGGCCGGCCTGGTCTACAGTTGAGTACAAGACAACCAAGGTTACTCAGAGAAACACTATCTCAAAAAAAAAAAAAAAAAAAGGAGAAAGAAAAAAAATGCCTTAGTAAGCCAACCTGTAGGGCATTCTCTTAATTAATGATTGATGAGACAACTGTGAGTGGGGCCAGTCCTGGGCTGCTGGTCCTGGGATCAAGCCACTGACAAGTCAGTAAACAGCAGTCCTCTATGGCCTCTAGATCAGCTTCTGCCTCCAGGTTTCTGCCCTGTTTTGAGTTTCTGTCCTGACTTCCTTTGATGTGCAAACATAAGCCAAATAAACCCTTTCCTCCCCAAGTTTCTTTGCTAATGGTGTCTCGTCACAGCAATAATAACCCTAAGTAATACAGTATACAACACTGTTGTGTTCAACTTTTATCTGCTTGTTTTCCCTGGAAAGGGGAGCTATAAAATCTACAAAATAAGACGTAGCGCTGTTCAATGCATTGTTGGCTCCAACAAAATGAATGAGGGGAACAAAAACAGTTGGGAGACAATAATTTAATCCCTGATTTATATAGATACAAAGTTGGTTTCTAATTATACAGCTTAACATGACTAATAAGAATTTCTTTAAGGGCCATACAGTGCAACAATTTGTAACATTTGAAAAATAAATTTAGCAAAAAATCTGCCTGAAGACTACCATTTTCTGATGCACAACAGCACTTTCACTTTATTTCTAAATAATAAATTAAACAACTAGAGTTACTTTTTGTATTAAGACAGAATCTAGCTTAGTCCAGATGGGCATCTACTTTGCTGAGACCAACCATGACCTTGAAGTCCTGATCTTCTACCTTCTACTGGACAGTGGTAGAAATTACAATGTGCACCGGTTTGTCTACTGAGTCCTACTGTCCTAAGTGCTAGAGAGGAAATGCTAGGGCAGCACTCCACCAGCAGAACTATAACCACAACACTTAAGAGTTTCTTTTTAACAGTCCATCAACAGAACTTAAAGGCAAGTATTTAATTAAAGGAGAACATTAAGGGGTTGGAAAATGGCTCAGTGGTTAAGAGCACTTGCTGCTTTTGCAGAGAACCTAGGTTCAGTTCCCAGCACAAACATCATCACTTACAATCACCTTTACCTATAGGGGATCTGGTATATACCTGGTGCACATACACACATATAGGTAAAACACTCATACACATAAAAATATTCTTTAAAAGTTAAATCATATGTTTAAAAATAACTAAAAACACAAGCATAAATACAATCATAGCACATTTAGCATCGGTGGTAAAGAGCATATGTACTTACTTTCTGAATGAATTTCTCAACACTTTGTACCACGTGTTTATAGAACTGTAAGAAAAAAAGAAAACAAATCAGTTGGCATAGATTAGAATTTTCTGCTAACCATAAGCTTAAGAAGCACTCCAAAGGTCCATTAAAATAATAAACTTTAGTCAAATTTCTGTGATTCACATCATTCACCTGTACAGGAAACTAGCCATGACATTTAATTCTTTAAGTAATCCTTTGAAGGACATATTACAATGAACATATCTGAAGTGTGTTACATTAACATGAAACAATTCCAGCTGGTCAGGACAGTACATGCCTGTATTCCCAGCACCAGGAAGGCTGAAATAAAGTGATCACAGGCTGGGGCCAATCTCAGCTACACCCTGAAAACTCTGTATTAAAAACTGAAACAAGCAAAAATCTTTACGACAGCACACTTTGACAAGTTGGACTGACAGCAAAATAATGCACACTGACAACGTTGGGTTTTTTTCCAAAGAAGTGATAGTGTCCTATAGTGTCATTTTAACGCCTATCAAGAACAATACTAGAAAACAGTAATCTACCAGCAATACATCAATAAATGTGATAGCAATATATTAATAAATGTTTCAACTACAGGCAGAGGGAAGAATATACAATGTTCTAATAAGTCATACAAAATGAAATGATCCACTATCAATTATGAAAACACTTAGAAGACTGATGTACAACCTGGAAGTAAATAAAATAGAAACTATAAATAACAAAATTTTAATATGTCAACAGCAACGCCATGATTAGAACATTTGTCTTGAAGAACGTGAATTATACTTCCAGTCTCAAGACTTCTGCTTTATAAAGGATAACTCTGCATTTAGATTGGGGAAACATAAGGACTAAAGCCATAACATTGAAATGTATACTTGGTTGACTGTAAGCATATTAGCATAAAAGTATTTTATCCAAATCAAATTCATACATGGGATCAACATACTGTGGTTTGACTGCTTTCTAAGAAAACGTCTACATTCTTAGGAGATTCATATACAAGTACAGAGGGACTGTTACTATTAATGACATCTGGAGCTCTCAAATGAATCAACCAGGAAAAGAAAAACAAAAAGTGTGTGTGTGTGTGTGTGTGTGTGTGTGTGTGTGAATCCCTTTGATGTTGGCCAAAAGTTTAAAAGCGATATAGAAAGCAGGTATGGTAAAAGGTTACTGAGTGACGGATTCAAGGGGGTAAAAACATAGTGCTTACAGGAATATACAACTTTTCAGAACTAGAATTATCAAAGGCAGCAGTAATACACCAAACACTACAGTACACTGTAAAAAATTATTCACTCTCAACTGACAAAAACCCTAATTCAAACTCTACAAACAACTCCCTGTCTGTTCTCTACTGACATCTGAAAATAAGACATAATGCTAGAGCCTATACTTCACTGAGTCTTTTAATTTAACAAGTGCCCTGTTCAACATTTCATGAAATGTAACAATAATTTTCCAGGCTAGTATTGAAGATATTAACATGCACGTTTGCGTAGTCTTAGAACCATGAGCCAAAGAATCAGACCACATTGGAGATAATGTAAACTACAGTAAGCTTATGCAAAGGCCCATCAGATAGATGTGCTTTAAGTAATAACAACAATAATAGTTTCCTTTCAGAATTCTCAGGCTTAAATGTGCTTGTCAGCATCTTTATAGCTTATCTTTTTTTTTTACATAAAAACATGCGGGTGGGTAGATATAATAAGATACTAACTATAAATCTGATACTAACTATAAACCTGAACAAACACACACACAAAAAAATAAATAAAAACAAAAGCAATGGTGGCTAAGGATGGTTCAGCAAGTAACGGTGCTTGTCACATAAGGCTGACAGACAATTAATACTTGAAAGTTTGTCCTCTGATCTCTAGGCAGGTGACATGGCAAACACACAAATACACACAAATACACACACACACACACACACACACACACACAAAACTTAGTTTTTAAAAAATTTGAAAGAATCAAGCAAATGTCTCCTGATAGTAATCACCAGTAATTAGGAATTTGTTAGTTAATATACTGCTACTATTCAAAAGATAAAAAAATTAATAGCTGGTATATCAAGTTATGGCTAATGTTTCAATCACTAAATGTTCACAGGTTAGTACCTACTTGATTAGAAGTAATCATTCATTTTCAAGATCCTTGCTAGAAGGAAGTCTTAGACCAGAACACAATAAATTATGTATTCTGAACTTGAAAAGACTTTGTAGACAAGAAGTTATGTGTACTTCTCCAGAGAATCCAACCATTTCCCCATGGTTTCAGAGTCTAGATGAGTTAACACAGCTCAAAACTCACTGCATCACAGCAATGACTTAGGTTTGTCCTTTCCTAAAATTCAAGTACCTTATACACAATAAAGCCCAATTATTTTCCATAATGATTCATTTTCAAATCTATATACAATCAGTGAGATAAAAACTAATACACTGATTTTAATTTAAAAGTCTTTTATCAACTTATATTTACAATTTTTCAGTCAGTTTGACAAACACAAGTGTCAGAACACTTTCCTTATGACATGGCTCTATCCAAACTATCAGCTGCCCAAGAAAAGTATGAAAAATGCTTATTTCAAAACTTGTAAAAAAGTGTTTTGCTTTGGTTTTAAAGGATTTTAAGGCTTACTTATTTTATTTGCTGTGTAAGAGTGCACGTCTGCATGTGAACCAAGTGTGTGTCCACTGGCCTTGGGGTTGGAAAGCACTGAATCCTCTAGAACTAGAGATGGTTGTGAGCCGGTTGTAAGCCACTGTGTGGGGGATGGGAACCGAACCCAGGTCCTCTCTGAATCCAGTATATACTCTTAACCACTGAGCCTCTCTTCAGCTGGAATCTACATGCTTTTCAAAATGTGTTTTTATGTAAATGTGGGAGTTTTCAAGTGGCAGATTTCTTTCTTTTCCACAATGAGCATGTATTAATACCATAAAGCTGAAGTAAATATGTAAAATCTCTAAAATCTATTCCTTTAAAATACTAAGGAGGGGCTGGGGAAACAGCTCCATCTGTAAACAAGCCTGAGGGCCGGAGTTCAGGCCTCAAGCACCAACATAAAAGGCAAAGTGTGAAAAGACAGATGCAGAAAGGACAGTTGTAACTGACATTGAGTGCTTCTGTCCTATTCTGTTAAGAACGTGTTTGTGCATATATACACATACATTAAGCAGATACTATGTTTTCTTTATTCTAATTCTTCATCATACGTGATACAGATTGAGATAACAGATGCATACTAAGCCACCTACGCTAAAATATATAGTGCATTTGCAGTTGTGTGTGGAATACCATGTTAGTGGCATTAACATGGCAATTGTTTTCATTTGGAATTTAAGCAAGAAGGGATGTGATTGTGTTTGTTGACAAGGAGTGGATTAATCTTGGTTGTTAACTTGACTACCTCTGGAATCAACAAAGACCCAAGTTGTAGGGCACACCTATGAGAGATTTTCTTCATTGATATTAAAACCTACTTCTTTGGGATTCCAACACAGACTGAAAACTGGCAGCTCTCTAGGTAGCTTCCAGGAATCCAGCATGAGACTGGGACTGCTAATACATCTAGTCTCCTGGAATGAGCAACTACCAGACTCTTGGCCTTTTCTGTCATGAGATGGCCATTGTTGGAGTACCTAGAACACAGCCTACTCTAATAAGACCTATTTAAATAAATAAATAGAATTTCTTGTTTCTTAGGGAGCCCTGACTAATAGTATTTTCCTGTTGCTGTGACAATATCCTAATGAAAGCCAACTCAATTCAGTTCCAGGTTAGTCTGTGATGATGGAGAAGATAGAGAAGCAAAAGCCTGAAACATTCAGTCTCTCTCTCTCTCTCTCTCTCTCTCTCTCTCTCTCTCTCTCACATACACACACACATACACACACACAGTTAAAGCAGAGAACCAGGGTTCTCAGTGCTTAAAAGTACTTCCAAACAAATTCAGCATGAGTTCAATCCTCACACCCTGTGGTAGAAGGAGAGAAAGCCACACATTCACAAGCACACGCTTCAGAGTAACAAAAATTAGCACTTTAGTAGTAGCAGCAGCAGCAGCAGCAACAAATGAAGATGCCAGCTGCTACTCAGTTCCCTTTCTCCATCCTATGGGCCAGAATGCTAGGCAGGGGAATAGTCCCATCATCCAGAGTGAACAAGCCTTCCTATCTCAATTAAATCAATCAAGGTGAATTCCCCACAAGCATGGCCTCCGGCCCATCTCCCAGGTGCTTCTACATCAAGACAAATTGACAATTTAATACTATGCCACAGACTGTCTCAAAAACATAGGGTGGGACACAATGGAGCCTCTTAACATTACAGGACCCTTTACTGTGTGGCACACGTATATACGTATTCATTCTCTCTCTCTCTCTCTCTCTCTCACACACACACACACACACACTAAGAGGGTTCTTTGCTTTTAAAGACACAAAGTAAAATTTCTGACTCACCTTAATAGCTTTGATGGCTGCCTTTGTAATCTGGGTCATTTTTGCTTTAGAAATGGGTGGTTTATAGTCATTCAGCGAATATAACTGGTGGAAAAAAGAAAAAAAAATATTAAATATATCACAGTGCCCCCAAGCAACCATGAAACTACTAGCATTCCCATTTTCATATTCTCACAAAATATAAGGGTCATCTTAAGAAGAAATCAAGCTCAGCAACATTACCCACAGGAGCAGAGAATTATAGTCAGGCATTACCTCACACTTGCTTATTCATAATCACTAAGTCAGAAAAAGAAAGAAAAAGAATGTAAAAACTTAGAATCCTTTTCACTACCGGTGCAAATGCCAAATGGTGCAGCAACTTTGAAACACAGCTTAAGAGCCGGCAATGTGGCTCAATGGGGGAAGTAGATGGCCACCAAACCTAACAACCTGAGTTCATTCTCAAAATCAACATGGTAGAAATAGAGAACCAATTCCTTGTAACAAGCTGTCCTTCCACAGGCTCACTATGGCACGCACACACACACTAAATGTAAAAAAAATAAAATAGAACAGCACGACCATTAAAAATGGTCACCATGTGATGCAGCTAATTCCACCCCTAAGTACACAACTAAATGTGCTAAAAATAAATGTTCACATTAAAGTTTATGTCCCCGACGCTGAGCATGGTGGGAGATACCCTTAATCCCAGTCCTTGAAAGGCAGAGGCAGGCTGCTCTCTGTGAGTTTAAGGTCAGCCTGGTCTACATAAGCAAATTCCAGAACAGACCAGCCAGAGCTATATAGTGAGACTCTGCTTAAAACCAAAAAGAAAAAAAGAAAAAAAAAAAAAAAAAAAAGCAGCAACAGCCCGAATGGCATGAATTGCAATAGAATGTATGATACTGTATTAAATGAACTGAGAGCTGTAAAAGGAATCAGGATCCTTAGATATAACACGAATGAATCTTGGAAGCTTCGGGAAGAGCGATTAAGTACCTCACTAGATTGCCCATGTTGCCTTAGCCTGTTGAACAGTTAAGATCACAAGCGCATGTCACCAAGGGCCTGGCCCTTGGAAATACTTCGCTAAGAAAACTGAGGATGTAGCTCAGTGGTACAACAGTTGCCTGGCACACTTGAGGCCCTATGTTCAATTCTAGGAATTGGGGGATGGGAGACAACTAATGATTAACATTCTTTTGAAGGTGAAAAAAATATTCTAAAGTTAATTGCAATGATGGTCGCACCATGTGGTGAATATACCCAAAGACCATATTGTGTTGTCTGACTTCATATGTGACTTTTTATCACAGTAAGCCTTTTTAAAGCCAGGCACGGCAAAGCACAGCTTTAAGCCCAGCATTTGAGCAAGAGGTAGATGGGTCTCTGAGTTCAAGAAAAACCTGGTCTACACTGAGTGTGCCAAGCTAGCCAGGGCTATACAGTGGGACTTAAAGAAAACGGGGTAGTAAAGGAAAAAAAAAAAAAAAAAACAATAAATAAGCCTTTTTAAATTCAAGCTATCTAATGTTTTTAAACAATCTGCCCATTGAACTGACATAATATTCCTCATATAATGCTCAGAGACATGGCATTAAAAAAAAGTAAAAATAAAAAATTAGAAAAAATAGAATGAATTTCATTTAACTGTGGTTAAATGAAAACTGACTAAAAATTCCATCACGTTCAGTGACACTATAGTTAAGACAGTATTTAAAAGTTTACACTCTAAGCTATGACCATCACAACATAGACCACAGCCTAAACCACTATGCTACCCCTGGAAAACACTTAATGAGATCAGCGTGCTCTCTTAACACATTTATAGCTCTCTTTAAAAGTAAAACAAAAACAAACAATACACCACTTCCACCACTCCCTACAGCAGTCAAGAACCCTTTGAGCAAACAAAGCAAAGCTGTGTATGGGAGGGTCTGGCTGTTCAGCATCAGCCCATCAGCCTCCTCTCATATATTTATAGCCCCTTGTTCTGGGCTCATGCTCTCTTCTGAGGTACTGCTCTTAAGAGACCTGTTCTCTTCTATTCAGATACTTTCTACCAGGGACTTCCCACTAGTTAATGTGTACTTTTCCCTAAATCACCTAATGAGGAAAGGCTTCTGTAACTCCCCAGTACCAAACTTCTCTTTATGTTTTCAATGCTTCACTAGTCACCTTTGAAGCCATTAAATTGCCAGACTGTGTCTAATATTTGATTTTTCAAAAATAACTGCTACACAGATAATGGTGAGTGACAGTAATAAACAAAGGGTTGAGGTAGCTTTAACGAAATTTAAGGTATTAAGTGGCTGATACACTGAACTGTGACGCAAACAGAAAGCAATCAAAGCTTCTAGCTAACGTTACAAACACCCTTTCTGGTCAGCGCCCTCCGGGGTCACGCACATGTTCATTATATCACCTCACCCGAATACTACAAAGGCTGATTCCAGCATGGCCTAGGACATAAAAAGGGAGGCCTCGAGTTCATCTGGAGACAATCTCCACAGAATGAGGCTGTTCACATGTGGCAAGGGGTGGTGGTGCACACCTTTGATCCCAGCACTTGGGAGGCAGAGGCAGGTGAGTCTGAGGGCAGCCTGGCCTACAAAGTGAGTTCCAGGACAGCCACAGCTACACCAGAGACCCCATGGGGGAAGAGAGGAGGTTGTTCTCATGTGACACTTTACAGGTTTCTCAGGAGAGGTCAAACTTGAACCTGGCACCATTAAACTCTTAAGATCACAGGTGCACAGTAAATATTCCCACAGCCTATTAGACAGAACCCATTGGACACACCACATTCTAGAACCTCCAGAACGAGCTAAAAACACTCTCTTCTATATTATAGCAGGTATTTCATTATAATGACAAAATGCTGACTAGGAAGGCCACAGTGTTTCTACTGTATCACATCTGTTCAGCCCTACTTCTATTAGCAAGACACCAATAAACTGTACTTGAACCAAAACAACCAAATTGTATGATAAAAGAACATATAACAAAAGGCAACCTTTGATTTTGAGTGATAATGAAATCTGAGATGGTCCTTCCTCTTTTTGATAAACAAAGTAATCTCACTAGAGAGAACCATCCTAACCTCCCAAGTACTGAGATTCATCACCCAATTTGAACAAAATGTATTCATACTATTTCAAACAAAACTTTAAAAAAACATTTTAGTGTCCTTGCTGATTTGATCAATACTCAACTTAATACCAGAACTTATTATAGGCCATGCCCCAGAACCATCAACAGACATCTGGTTATACATCAGTGCAGCTTGTTATCTGTGCCTTCAAGGCTGCTGACTCTGACCAAATGAATTTAAGAGAAAGTATGAATCTAAAACAAGAGTAACTAATTCATCTTTTCCCAAATTATCCTTTTAGGCCTTTGAAAACACAAATCAGTATCTCTCACATCTCCAAAGACATCAGAAACCAGACAAAAGTTCCTGCCACTCCAATCTTGACACTTTCAAGACTGTATACTGACCAGACATAATTGCTTTTTCCTCTTGTTCAGAAGACAATAAATGACTTTCACAACAAAAAAGAAGTAGGAAAGCAGAAGAATCAATAGGTAAGAGATGTCAGCTTCTAGAAAACAGAAATGGGCTAGTAACTAATGAAACAAGAAACCCACAGCCATAGCACACACATAAGATATAGCCAGTGTACAAACACATCCATTCAGTCTCACTATTAAGCAACAGTGGACAAACAGCCCCACCTACTACTGTAACAACTAGTAATGTCTAAAACTCAACCAACGGTGGTATAAAAATTTTACTTGGTGACATGAAGGTAAGTGCTGGAAGAACTCAGGTGTGAAGTGAAAAAAATTGTTCTTTGGGGGAAATCAAGCTTCTTAGAGTCAGAGCCTACAAAATCACTTGTTTATGTGACCTTGAAAATTGTATTTCATTATTTTTATTCTAGTCCACTTGAGCACACACGATTTCCACATTTTGTCTTCTCCAAAATTCTTAAGTCCCAACCTCCACTATGTCTATATTTAGAAATAGGCTCTCTTTGGAGATGATTAAATGATATCATATAGATAGACAGCTCAATTCTAACAGGATTACTATCTTTCAAAACCTAAGTATCACATAGCTTTTGCTCACACATACACATTTCTTTCATGCATCCCAAGCTCTTTCCGCACCTCACTACTCCCTTTCTCTGTGAGAAAGCAAGTATCCATCAGCCAGGAACACTTTCTCCCAGGAAGGCATAGTCAGCACCTGCAGACTTGATTGCCTAGTCTCAAGAACCATAAGAAGGCAGGTGTGGTGGTGCATCCCTATAATCCCAGGGAGGCAGAGGCAGGAGGATCTCTGTGAGCTCAAGGCCAGCCTGGTCTACAGAGTGAGCCCAGGACAGTCAGGACCATACAGAGAAACCCTGTCTTGAAAAACAAACAAACAGCAAAACAAAAACACAAACCCATAGAAAAAAATTGTTTAAGACACTATAAAAATGGGTTACATGAAACTTTCCTAACAATTAAAAGCATGTAACCGTTACTAGTAAATCAATTAGAGCACTGGGAAAAAGAATAAAATATATTCAAAGCTGTTATGTGTTTATGTCCTCCAAATTGAACATTCTCTCCAGTAAAGGAGGAAGGAGATGGATCCTCAAATCAGGGAACTCAACAGGCAAGATTCACACAAGAAGTTCAGGAAGTTCATGAAACATAGACACAGGAAGCTCTAGGATGCAAGTTTCATGAGCTTGCACCCATGCTGAACACGCCTTTCAATTGTATAGCTATGTGTTAGTCATCCTACTAAAACTAACCCTAATAACTTAACTAGTTCATCCAGCTAAATGGGTAGAACTCTTTGGTTTGTCATCAGTGTCCTATCTGAGATACACCAATATTTATACACTTATCCCCAGAAACAGCCACAAAATGCAACTAGTGCCCAAACATGGACTAATATAACCAAAAGTGAAATGAAAAGAAGTTGCACAGCCTCTAAAATGGATGATAAAACAAACAAATAAGGCCAAACAGACATCTATTCCTGACTCTTTCAGAAAAGTCACACAAAAGCTTTGTACATTTTTTAAACAGATAAT